ACGGTTCTCTGGCGCCTGCGGGGGGGGTCGGGGGGTGAGAGTAGCGGCGGAGTAGCTCTGGTGTAGCTGTTCTGTAGCTTCTCCGTAGCTTCTCTGTAGCCGCTGCGGTAGGCACAGCGGGGGGTCCCCTCTGAGGTGTCCTCCGCGAATGCACTTACTGTTGAAGGCAACGGAACAGTGCTTGTTCCTGCAGGTGGTGTTTACGTGGAAGGGTCTCCTTCCGACGTGCTCAATGGGGGTGAGGTCGGCCTATAGGAGGGAAGGAGAGGGGAAGAAAAGGCAAGCGGCTGAAGTGTGCACACCTTTGCCAATGGCTGAGCGGTAACGTATGTGCCCACAGCTGGGTGAGCCAAGAGAGGGACGAGCACCACAAGGGGGAAGAGGCCATTCTTTATTTTAACGTTTAAGTTGGTCCGGCGGGAAGTGCAGGCGGATTTCGTCTGGCTCCGTTCGAGGTCCTTGGGGATGCAGTTTATCTGGAGAGAGAGGAGGAGGTGGGAACGACAAAGAGAAAGGAAGCTGAACGGGGGGAAGACTCAGGGGAGGATAACTCAACGGGGGAAAGCCTCAAGGGGGGGTGGACAGAAAACGCTCCACTTAGTGGTCTCTCCCCCCTGCCGCACACCCGCGCGCGAAAAATGAGCGCACCTCTAAGTTGGACTCGTGGGAACGAATCATCTTTCGGCTGGAGCCCTGGATGGAGGCGCTTTCCTTGGGGCAAAGAGATTTCTGGGGAGTGGCATTGTGGGGTAAAAGGCAGTGTAGGGGCGCCATGGAGCAGCTCAGTTGAGCCGCTCTGCACTAATCGTCGTGGCTGCCTCTCCGGGTGGCCCAATTTGCGCTCACCTCCAGCTGAGTCACGTAATGGGTCGGGCTCTTCTTGGGGACGAACGTGTCGGCGCTTTTGTTGGGCACGAGGCAGGTCTAGAAGGGGCATGATGGGAGAGTTGCATGATGGGAAACGGCCTGACGGGGGAACATCCTGACGCGGGAGTAACGTAAGAGCAAAGTTGCTTCATTCCAGTGCCACCCCACCCCTCGTCTGCCTCGGCATACCGATAGATTATCCACGTGTCTGTAGTTCCTGTTCGGTGGGGGCAGAGGGTACCTCAGCACGTCGACTCCCCACCTGTAGGGGTTGTTGCTCAGGCTGTAGCTGCTCGTCTTCTTCGAGCTGCGGTTGTCATAGTTGGTGCGATGGGGGGGGAGGGGGTGCAAGTAAGGATGAGTACAAAGGACAGGGCAGAGGAGAGAGGGTTACACAAGGTAGCCCCTCTTGGAGACCCCAACAGGAGAAACAAAGAAAAAAAAAAAAAAAAGAAGACTCAGTGGTGTTCCTTCTTAACGCCATCGCCTGCCTTTTCGGGGGGACCTCTTTTTTTGGTCCACATGGCCGCTGTCAGACGAGAAGATAAAAAAGGGGAATGGAGAAGACATGTCACCGTGAGAGTGGCAAGAAAGTGGGAAAGAAGAAAAAAAAAAAAAAAAAAAAGAAAAAAAAATTGTCCCATTGGATCGTCCATTCTTTAGAGGCTGCCTCGTCTGCGTGCCTCTCCCCACCTGTGGTTCGAGAAGATGTTTCCACTTGCCACCTCCGGATGAATCCTCCTTCCACACCTTCTGCTCATCATATGAAATGGCTCTTGCTGCAGTATCCTCTTGATCTCTCCATCAGGGGGTGCAATGATTTTTTTATTCGTCCATCTATCGGTGGAGCCGCTGTTCGAGTCTGCCGTTGAGGAGGGGTGGGTCCGGAAAAAAAAGAAGGGGAAGTCTCGTAAGGTGCCACTCAATAGGTGGCTAGATATACGGTTGACTCAAATGGGGAGTCCCCTCGGTCTATTCCCTATCCGCAGAGGGAGGGACTTTCCTGAGCGGGCATCCAAACTTCTCAATGCGAGACGATATTGTTACCTAGTCTCTCACCTGCAACCGCATCCAACGTGGACGTCTTATTTCGATGGCTCACATTTCGGATGCTGCTTTTGAATGACCTTTGAGTTGTCTCGTAGTAGAGCTGCCGAGGGAAGGAAGAAAGCAATGCTGAGTGGGGAGACGTCACTCTTTTGGGTCAGTTTCGGATACGTGCACGGACGCAGGTGTGACGATTGAGTTGCCTCATCAATGTCTGTTCATACCGGACAGTGCATGGAGTCATTCGGGTGTGTGGGCTTGCCGGCAGGGGCGCTGAAAAAGGGGAGAGGGATTGACCAAATGGGTGCCACGGTCCCAGCTGCGCAGTTGGCAGTGGGGGGTTGTCATTTGGTATTTGTGAGTTGCCAGTTGCTAGTAGCCTGTTGCCAGTCGCCATTTCGCCGCTTTACCGTTTCAGTCTGGTTCGGCCATTCCTTTGGGCGAATTGGTCACTTGGCGTGCTCATCTTATCGGACTCAGTTGGTATGTACAACACGGGGAGTGCAAAGGGGGGCGGCCGGAAACTCGCCAGCCGCTTTGCCAGCGTGGGAGGCCCGTCTGCGCAAGGGAGACGAAAGGTAGGTTAGCAGAAAGGGGGGCAGGAACGAGTGGACAAACAGAAAAGTAGCGCAGCAACCAGTGGGCAGATAGAAACGTATCCCATCAATCAGTTGACAAACCGAAACGTAGCGCAGCAACCTGTGGGCAGACAGAAACGTATCCCAGCAACCAGTGGACAGACGGAGACGTAGACATGCGATCAATTAAACATACGCATAGCTAAACAAATAGGACAAAGGGAAAAGAAAAAAAAAAAAGAAATGCACTTTGCAGGCTGGGAAATACAGGCTTGCAGTGTATGCCCCAGAGTGAGCACTGTGAACATGCGCGCGAAGAGGGTGGAAAAGAAAAAAAAGAAGGGAGGTCTCACTGCTAAGTTAAAACAAGCTCATGTTCGTTGTGTTGCCCTCCGTGCGTTACGCTGTGGCGCGATTTTTAACTTTTCGACGGGCTTTGTTCTCCTCCGCCCTTTTTTTCCCACCCTCTGCAACGTGCACACACTGCACAGTCAGCGGAAAAAAATGAAGAAGAGGTTTCTTCCCAATGAGGAGACTATATCCACATGACATTCGCACCCCCGAGGGAGTCTGTTCTGAAGAACAGAGGAGGGTAACCTCCCCTTTGAAAAATAAAGCGTATGCGCAGGGGTACACACCAGGAGGAAGAGTCTTCCACGCAGAGGACGTATGTAGGTCACATTTTCACCTGCACAGGGTCAGGTGTTTTTTTTTTTTTTTTTTCCTTTGATAAGGAGGTTATAACTCCACCAGAGGGTGTCTGTACGGGGATGTATGACAAATGGGAGTAGCACCCCTTCAGGCCCAAGTTAAGGTTCAATCTGGTACCACAGCAGTTGTACACACCTGATCGATTCTCCCTTTTGAGACTTCTGAATTGGTAATCATATCTTAAGGGTGAGTACTTCTCCCCTGCTTTCCTCCGCCCTTCTGTTCAGCTGGACAATCCTTCACAACTATTTTTTACAGAAAAGGAGCAGCTCCCATTTGCTCTCTTGGGTAGAAATATTTCCGAGTGGGCTGCTGCTCGACGTCACTTAGCAAATAGGAAGTGATACTTCTCCCAGAAGATGTCACTCACGAGATTCTCGTGCGAGAGCGTGAACTTCGCCACTGTGTCACGCTTGTGGGGGGGAGCGGCATCACTGCGCAGTTTCTCCGGGGGTGGCACCTTCGCATCGTCCGGGGGAGGCACCTTTGCATCGTCGGGCGGTGGCATCTTCCCATCGTCCAGCGGTCGCACCTTCGTATTTTGTCCACTTCCCGAATTGGGATCCTTCACGCGCGTGATCTTCACCTCTTCCCCGACGTGGCCCCTTTTCCAGCTCTGCTCATCCCGCATCAAGATGGAACCCCGCCTGAAAATCTCAGGTACATCATTGTAGTTGATCCCAAACTGAGAAAATAGCAACTCATTCTTTTCCCTCTTCTGAGTTGTCCTCAGAGCATCGTAAGCCTGCTGATGAGAATAACCACTCCTATTAATAAGGTTCCAGAAGCATTCATTGTACTGAGTGTTAATGTGACAGTCGACTTGTCTCCAGCGGAAGTAATCCTTCGCTTCCCTTTCTGTTGGCAGGAGAACAATCCTCCCATCGAAACATGGCACGTATAGTAGCGGCTGATCGGGAAAGAATTCCTTCCAGTGAAAAGGAAAGGATCCTGAAAAACAGGACACAATATTGGTTAAGATTTTATCATGTCTTCTATTCCATACTTTTGTTTTTTTCCGAAAGAGGAAGCTGTACTCGTCGGAGTGTCCATATGCCAAATCGATTTCGTCAAACTTGTGCATCACTTCTTTCGCACATGCATTCATTAGGTGCAGTCCTCGTACGTCATTCGGTTTTGTGTACCCGTGTGTCTTTGTGAATGTTTTGAAGCCTCCGCCGTCTATCCTCACGACGAAGTAGCAGCAGGGAAGAATTCTCCTCTCTTCCTCCAGCTTCTTCACGTAGGCGTATTTGCTGTTAGCCATGGGGGGAGGGGGTGCGGTTGGAGTAATCCGTCTACGCGGTGAGAGGAGCATACGCGGAGTAGGCCTCCTTTATGTGACCTCTCCCCCCCTGACACTTTCCTCCGCGTTTTTTTTATTTTTTTATTTTTTTATTTTTTTTTTTCCTTCCTGACGAGAGGGCCGCGCCAAACGGATCGCTTCGGATTAATCTGGTGGGGAAAGAATCACCCTGACCAACTACGCGATGTTGTCTGGTCACACATGGGGGAGAGATGCCAGTACACTGTTCCGCTCAACCGGAGTGGAACCCCATTTAACGGCGGGGGAAGGCTCTCCTCTCCTGTGCCCCCATCAATTTTGGCATCCCCACTGGAGCAACAATTTTGTATGAACAGTTCAGGTAAAGTTTGTCCTACAAAATGAGGCATGTGGGGGGTTTTCTTTTTAAAGGCTGTTGGGCAAGGCCACACCTGGGGGAAGTTACCCACAGGGAGGAACCACGTGAGCATCGCCAAAATGGTCAAAAGGAAGGCGACGAAGTGAAGAAGCGCACCCGATGCGATGCCATCCCCACTGGGAGAAAAAAAAAAAAAAAAAAAACACATTTCAACGTGCAAAAAGTGGGCGAAGAAGGGCGGCCCCGTGGAAGATGCCACAAGGGACCTCCCCCCATTTACGAATATCATCTTTTACATACCCAACACGTGCTAACCCAGTTAGTTGTGAACAGATGGCCCCCCTTCAGCAGGCAACCGGATGGGTCGCTCCCCCCCCCGCACCGAATGTATTTGCCGCCACATAGAGGGCAAATGGACCGATTGCTCTGGACCTTACGGCCGAGTTGAGGAGGGGGAGAAGCCTTCTACTAGCGTTTACTCCTCCTGTTTACTCATCGCTATGGCCCCCTCAAATGGCTAACTGTGCATGTATGTGTACGGTCGACACCTCCCACAGGGCACCCTTTCGTCTGTTTTGTAAGCAGCGTCTTTCCCACACACGTCTTACCCTTTGAAGTGGACCACGGGCTGCGCCCTATTGGCTAAGTGTCGAGTCCTTTTCCCCCCCTTCTCTTCGTCCCGGAGCTGTTCCAGCCTTTCCAGAAAAAACTTGTTCAGTCTGGCATACAGTAACGGCTGGTAATAATGACGAAACGAATGCTTCCCATGCGAGATGGAATCGATTAGTGCGTCCCACTGAAACATATCCTTTTCCCCAAACGTGTTTTCTTTATTTACTACTACATTGAATAAGTATTCGTTATCGAAGGTAAAAGACATATGCAGTATGAACTGCGAAATGGTGGACTCCTGTTGGTAGATCTTCTCTCCAAAGATTCCAATCATGCAAGAGAAACAAGATAAGATGTTCCCCATAAATTTAATTACTTCACTTTCGAACAAATTGCTAGACAATATTTTTGTAAGTAACTTTCTTGAGTCAGCTGGATTTTTTATGTTCCACTTTTTTAACTCACCATGTTCAGGCGAAAAACGCTTAAAAAGCATGTGCATGGTATTTGTGTACAGAAAGGGGAAAGACAGCTTGGAAATCTCTTCCTTTGCGACCCTCTCTGCATATTTTCTCAAACGTGTGTTCATGCTAAGAGTCTTTATGAACAGAAGCAGGGCTTTCATTCTTCGTAGTCTTCCGTCGAGCAATGCTCTTGTATGTTTGGTTCCTCTTCCCCCTTTGGTGGTTAGTGCTCTGCGCGGGGGTGTCATATTATTGTTGCATAGTCCCATATTGTAACCATGCTGATAACAGTGGGACCGGTTTGGAATGGCCCAACGCACTTTTCTTCTCGCCAACCGGAGGGGTGACAACGAGTCGGATGACTCCTCCGTTGCGCTTGTCTTGTTAGCCACGCTGAGTGGATCTTTAGAGTGGTCAAGTGGGGCATCCCCCCTAAGGATAACTGGTACTCTATTGCTGTAAGATGAAGAGCAGCTCCCCGAGACACACCCATCTGAGTGCATATAATCTGCAATGAGGGAGGTGCATAGGGACTCATTAAATTTGCCCATAAATAATACGATGGCTAAATCGAGGGCCGTCCTGTTACATTCATCTCTGACGAAGGGGGAGGTTCCTTTTTTCAGCTGATCAAAGGCGGCCACTACGTCGTTATTGAGCAAGTGGTGGTGGATGGAATGGATGCGTCCTCTGCAGATGTCTTCGAATTTGAGAAGCTTCCTGTCGCACCAGGTTTTACGTTCCACCTCCATTGTGGGGGCAAATGAAAAGATGAAAAAAAAGAGATCTCTCTCGTGGGGCACCGCTGCCCTTTTGCGATCCGTCAAAGGAGGGGACAAAAAAATAATACACCTGAAAGTGTGTACATAGGGAGGTGGGTATGCAGTGCAAATTGTACGGAAAAAACATATGAGGAGCCAACTCAAAGGGAAGACACACACTATGCCGTGGAGAAATTCCCTTAAAAGGGGTGTGTAAGCAACTGCGCAATTGAGTAGAATGGGAACTTCTCACTAATCGCAAAGTGGACATCTCTATACCGCTTGCCTTTTTTTTTTTCCACTTCTTTTTTCTTTATCTCATTTTTCGCCTGACCTGTTCAGGTGAAAAGTGCACAAAAATGAGAATAGCTAGCAGAACAAATCCCGTGCAGGAAAGGAAAAAAAAGAAAAAAAAAAAAAAAAAAAAAGTGGAATTAACGCTCCAAAAGGTGGGTGGCGGTCCCTATTTTGCCTTCTTTGTCTAAATTCACAAGGAGGGCGGTTTAATTGTGCCCATAAATTGGTACAAATTTGGGGATTTTTTTTTTCGGGTAGGGGAACAGTAATAAACGTGAGGGCAGCGGCATGCGTACGTACACCGGAATGTGTTCTCGGCGCTTAATCCACAGAAACGGGCTGCTGAGTTGGAGCGTGGAAGAGGAAACCCCTTCTTGACACATGCGCTAAAGGGGATGCGTTAGCTTTCCTGAGGATCTGTCTATTCCCCAGGCAAGGCCGTTAAATGTTGTGTGCTCAGCAGAAGGGTATTATTTTTTTTCTCTCTCCTCACATTTTCTCACCCGTGGAGATAGAACAACGAGTGAAATAACGATGTGCCTTTTGGAACCCCTCTACAAATCATAGGTAGGACACAAGTGAACGTCGCAACGGAGAAACCCTGACATGACAAAGGGGGCATGACAATCTGTAGTGTACAATTCCTCCAGGGAGATATATTCATGCAGGGATAAGCGCAGGTGGGCACTGCGCCCACGTATGGAGAAGTATGAAGAAGCACACCCCTGTACACACCCCTCTACACACACAGGCACGATGCTGCGAGCCGTTCTTTCCCTCCTGGTAGCCCTCGTGGCCACCCTGCGATCTACTAAGCTCGAAAAATCTCTCTTCAGTTACGTCAGCGAATTATCCTTTTCCGGATCGTTTGACAATCTCTTCGAGACGTGTCTTAGGGTTCCGAATAGCATATGCCTAGGGGGGACGTCCACAGTCGTCACGTCCAACAGTGTTCCCAAGGGGCTCATCGCCAAGTGGACCTTTGACGACATGTACGCCGTTGACTACAGCGGGAATAATAACCACATGCACAAGTTGGTGCGCGCGGCCCCTGGTTTTAATGGACGAGGATACAGCGGGGCCTTCGTGGGAGGTACTCATGGAAGGGGGGATCCACGTGCATATAATTGCTAGAATGAGACGACCAAAGAAAAAGAAAAAAAAAAAAAAAAGTTCGGACTCTTCGCTTGCTTCGTTATGCATCCCTTGAGCTATCCCAAATGGTGAATATTGTCATCTTATGTTATCCTTTTTTTTTTTTTTTTTTTTTTTTTTTTTTTTTCCTTTTCTCCACCCGCCACTCTGCAGATAACTCCGGTTTGGTGCACGCCGGCGCCACGTTGAAAACGACGCAGTTCACCATGTTCGTTAAGAGCAGAGAGATGTACCTGTCCAAGGAGTGGCGATGGCGTGTCCCCTTTGCGTGTCATCGAGGATACATCGATGCTGTTGCTTGCATGTGTTTATGTCACGAACAACACACGTGTAGACAGCTGCCTACATCTGCATACAACTGCTGCCGTCCCCCCGACTCGCAGAGTATTCTGGATATACCTGCTGGAGAGGCCAACGAATAACTTCCGCAATGTCCTTTCGCAGATGTAAGAGTTGACTTATCGTTGCTGCATCTCATGGGGCATCTTCGTGATGGCTCCATAGGTGGGTCGCCCGCCCCTACAGAGGAACACACCTGCACGGAGATCTCACAGTGATGCATTAAGCAGCCAGGACAGCCACGACAATTAGGACAATCACGACGACCACGACCACCGTGCAGACACAAGGGGGAAGAAACCATCGCCGTGCTCCTCTACCCTCACGTGAACAAACTATCCGTGAGAATACTTACGGAGCAGAAGTCGAACGAAGGGATGTCCTCCATGGGACAGATACCACTCAGGAGGTGGACAAACATAGCCATCAGAATGGACGACATGAAGGTGGAACTCTACATCAACGGGGTATTGGACAACTCGGTGCTGATCAGACGAGAAGTTGCAGATAAGGAAGAAGCTTACGTTAAGGCTGACGTGGACGCTAAGGCTGATGCTGGAGATGAAGAAAGGGGAGGGGACATAACCATTGGAAAAAATATGCACTACTCTAGCTTTAATGGCTACCTGGACGAAGTGTATTTCTTTAAAAGGAGCCTGAACAAGTCAGAAATAATTTCTTTCTCTCTTCCCAGCGTGACGGGAATACACGACACAGAGTTTGTCTATGTTGGAAACTACGAGTGCGACTATGCCACATCGATGCGTGCTGACCTGTGCAAAGAGAACTACCACCTGTGTTCTTCCTTCCAGTTGTACAGTGGAGGGATTCATTACGCTAGGGTTAATGGGATTTTGACTGCCACATCGAACTTGTGGTCGTCGGACGTATCCGAAAATGCCGTTGAGTCGGGGGAGAAGAGAATTGCACTCTGCTGCAGGGGGGGCGCGGCCGACTCTCCAGCCGGCTTGGTAACAGGAAGCAGTGCCTAGGAGGAGGCATGGTAAAAAGGGAAAAATGAAGAATCACTTCGATACAGCATTGCGCATATCAGCTGAATTAATCCCCCGTTTGACTCCTCTTTGTCCCCCCAAAATAGGGTGCGGAACAAGTGGAGGATTTTTCAAGACCCAAATGGGGGAAGCAGTGGCGGAGGTCTGTCATACCCGCTTCTCCCCCTTTCAGCAGTGTTGAACGGGCGATGGTCCCAATGTGTAAGCAGCCGTATGCTCAGTTTTGTGAGAAAATATCGGCAACTGCCTTTCACTATTCATTTCGCCACCTGTTCGTCCTTGATCCATCAGAGCACGACATGTGACGCGCGAAATGGGGCTAAGCCAAAGCCCACCATTTAACAACGCCCCTAAATGGGAAAAGCAAAAGAACGCAATATTGCAAGGCGTAGCAGTGGGAATAGCTAGCTCATTGAAGGGGCCATTTTTACCTGACCTGTTCATAAATTGTTGCAGAAAAAAAAAAAAAAAAACTCCAAAGGTGCAGTAACAGGGATAGCTAGCTCCCTCGTTGCACAACCTTCACCTGACTAGTTCATAAAAAAAGGGGAAGCACCACCAAAGGTGGGTTAACCGGGCAAATTGCCTTGGCATTAGCGGAGGGGAAATCTGCTTTGCCGTTCGGACGGATTCGGCAAATGGGGTAAATGGGGCAAATCGGACGAATTAGTTTCTCACGTGTGGTCTTCCCACGATTTTTTGCATCTTCCCCCAAACGCACACTTCTTCACGACAGTGGCGCAAGGGGCAAAGGTTTGACAGTTGGAAATGCCTTTTTTTTCTTTTTTTTTCTTTTCGGGCGGAGGGTTTTCCTCCGCCGTGGTGGGAGAAGCATTTTAAGGGGGAAATGACGAGGAGTTCAATTACACAAAATGGAATGACATGCAGGGGAAAGACACGAATTGCAGCGAAGCACCAATGCGAAGATGGAAGAGAGGGCCGCGCAAAAATGTGTACGTGTGTGTTTCTTGGCGCACATGTAATAAAGAGGAGGCTCCGCCTATATCCAGGGATGACATTTGAATGTGCATGTGGAGACACATTCGGGAAACTCCTCTCAAACGGCTTTGTTGCTGTTGTTGTTGTAGTAGCCTTTGCTGCTGCTACTGCCCATTTTTATTTCACTGTGGGAGGGAACTTTCTCAGGACATACTGGAATGGCGAAAGGGAAGTTCAATTAAGAGAAAGGTTGACAGGCGCACTTTACAGTTTTTTTTTTTTTTTGTTCCAAATAGCGCAGATAGGGAGACTTCATTTGAATGGCTACACATGTTCATACCTTTGGCTCACACGATTGTTTGCATGTTTGCTCACCGCGCGCTTTGGTCTTCCCCTTTTAACCTCAAGTTGTGCTTCCCCTCATATGCGGAGAAAGCAACATTGGTTTCGCTAGGCTGACATATCCCTCCCTGTTCCAGACGGGGGGTCACGCCTCGATTTTTCCGAAGGTCTCACACAAAGGGGGGAATGTGGCACCAGTTCGCAAAATGGAAAAAAAAAAAAAAAAAAAAAAAACAGAAAAGTGATGGAGCCAAAATGGTGTAGCAAAATTGCGTGGCAGAATGGTGTAACAAGACAGTTGCGGAAAAAAGTTACAACAAAACGATGCAGCAAAATGTTACAACGAAGCAGTGCAGCAAAACAACAACACGCACTGCTCAATTAAAATCCCATCAAACGCAAACAACTGTGAATTTGAGACAAACAGCTTGCTTCGAAAAAAGGGGACACAAATGATGCTTCCTGTCTTTACGGAGCTTATTTTATATATACAAATATAAGTATAGGTATGTACGTATGTATATGTTTTTTTTTTTTTTTTCACTTTACGAACTTGTCCTCATTGCTCACACTTTCACGAGTCTTTTTTTTCTTTCTGTTTTTTTTCCCTCTTTTTCTTCCCTTTCTTGTTGCCGTTCTTCTGGTGAAGAGAATTCTGCTACAACAGTTTCCCCCTTCGGCTGACGCTTCCTTCTGCGTGCAGGGCTTGCTTCCCCGCTGAAGACGGCTGGAAAGCGTAGCAGTGTCACCATCCCAAGGGGGGGAGCCTGAGTATACCATCCAAAGGAGCTTTTCTCCGAAAGGAACACCATGGTGCATGCAGGGAGCGAATCGGACAGGCCGGAAAAGGATGAAGGGGAAGTCGAGGAGGAGAAGCGCACAGACACCCCCAATACAGACGACAAAAATGGAGACAACTTACCAAACAAGAACTGCAGCTCAGCGGACCACTTACACTTCAAAGGAGAAGATGACGAATTTTCTGGGCTAACGAAAGCGAGTAAATCTTCCTCCATGGATGTGGGACTGGGTTCTGCCGCTTCAGATGAGCCTTTCGGCTGTTCCAAGGCGGGGAAGGAAAATGCGCATCCAACAGGAAGTACTGAGAACGACTCACATGGAACCTCCCCCCCTCTGTCGAAGGAGAATAACGACACATTCCGGGTGAACCATTCAGAAGGGGAAGCTTGTAATGATATGAAAAAAGAAATCAAAGTAGACAGTGAGGAGGGGGTAAAGGGAGATGCAGAAATAGACAACAGTGTTGGATCGGACGCAGGGGTGGAGGAAGCCCACGCCAAGGAAGACCATCGAAGGGAGGAGAGAAACGACGACAGACATGGCGAAGAGGTAACAGATCCCGATAAAGGAAAGCGACCAAAGAAAATCAAAAACATAAATGAGTTTCTCCTAGAAAGAAGGAACACCCAAAAAATCACTGTCTTTGTAGGGGAAAAAATGCACAAGACGAAGGCCGATTTTAAGTACGGCGAGGATGCACACACGAGTGTGAGCTGCAGACCGGATGGTGATGACATGAATGGAGGATCCCATGTGGAAAATAGCCAGGATGGCGAAGCGGACGGTGAACATAACAGGGTCATCGAGAAGAAACAGAAAAAGACGGTGTTCACTGCACAGTTGTGTGAGCGAAGTAACGCTGATGCCAGAGCGTGTGAGGAACTCGTTAAGGAGAAGCCGAAGAAAATCATCTTCGAATCGCAGCGGTGCGAGAGAAGTAGTGCAGATGCGCGGGCTTGTGAGGAGCTATCTAAGAGGCAAGAGAAAATCATCTTCGAATCGCAGCTGTGCGAACGAAGCAATGCTGATGCGAGGGCAGGTGAGGAGATAGCCAAGAAGAACCCAGAACGAACCATATTCGAAGCACAACTGTGCCAACGAAGCAACGCTGATGCGAGAGCGGGTGAGGAGATAGCCAAGAAGCAAGAGAAAACCGTCTTCGAATCACAGGGCAGACTCATCAGCAAAGCGGACGCGAGGGCTTGCGATCGGCTGGAAGATAAATTGGGTGGAGAAAGCGTGGTGTACGAGGCGCAGAAGTGTGTAAAGAGCGCTGCAGATTTTAAAGCCTCCGACAAGATAAAGGAGGTGATGAAGCGGAACATGGCCGATGAGTGTCACTCATTGTGAGGGGGAGGCACACCCGTCGTGATGGGGTGCCGGTGCGTGGTCAACGGGGGAAGATGCCGGGAGGAAAGGCGGCGGCGGGGGGAACCATCCACCCATCACGTTGTGACATCCTCTCCTTTTTTTTTTTTTTTTTTTCTGTTAAAATTGTTTTCAATTCCCTATTTTTGTAACTCTTACTTGTGTTTAATTATCATTGTAGAAGTGTTGGCTTGGCCGAGGTGAAGCCAGCGCAGATGCAAAGGTGGATAAGTGGAAAAGAAGAAAAAAAAAAACAATGGGATAGGCTGGACAGGTGGGATAAACAGAAGGTGTAACATATCCTCATACTAGCGTAGGCACACTGGTAGACATCTTCACTTCCCACTCGCCAGAAGAGATATGTTAGCAGAGAGATGCCTCTGTTCAGTACAGACTGACGGCATCTTCCGACGTGATGCCGTAGGTATTCAGCATGAAGAGGTTGGTGGAGGAGACATCAACTTGGTGTACACACCCGTTGTCTTCTAGCAGGTGTTTCTTCTCTTGGGTCCTATTTTGCAGGAGCAGCTGTTTGAGGAGATAGTACTTATAATCGAAACGATCATCTTTTCCGCTTCGCTGATCTGGAGGTATGAACCCGTTTGGGGTGGCTTTCTTTCCTGGAATATTCGCTGCATCTGTTTTATCCGTTTGATCCGTTTCACCCTTAAGTGCACTTTGTTCCCGTTCATACCGTTCCTGCTGTTGCTGCTCCTCCTCCTTTTCGGAATCCTTCTTGCTCAGACCGGTGAGAATCGAAAGTGGGTTCTTAAGCCTGCTCTTCATCAGCCTCATGAAGTAGTTATTTGTGTTTTCGTCCGGCTCACCATTTGTCTCAGTCCCATCGTTCTTCGAATTTTTTGCAGTGGCACTGGGTTGTTCCGTCTCAGCACGGTTGTTGCTGTTCTGAGCATGGTTGATGCTCTCCTGACTAGGGGTGCCTGCCACCTCCACCTGTTTACCACCCTTACTTATGAATAGACTCTCATTCAATGGTTCGTCATCGCGAAGAAGGAATCGCTCTCCCCTCTGCACAGATGCAGATGCCGTTTGGGAAACGGGTTCAGCACAAAGCTCGTCACCAGATGTGAGGAGGAAATGTCTCATGCTACTTAGAAGGTCTGATTCCTCTGTGGATTCATCATTTACGGGTTCTAGAAGGAGCTGCATCTGCTTGTTCATGTGTTCTTCTTCACGTAACTTGTAAGACATCTTTTCCTTAAAGGAAAAATGTCTACTCTCTTCGATGTGTGCATTTCCGTAAAATCCATCGGTGAGTATCTTCTCCTGGAAGGGGCTCCTTCCTCTTCTTGCTTCCCCATTTGGGTTATTTCGCATAAGTTCTGCTTCGGCAAGGGGATCGTCCCTACTGCTCTGTATGCACAGTGGAATCAGATGCAGGGCGTCGGAAATTATATTCGTCTGATTCGTTACCTGTTTCTCTAACCATTCGTGCAGTTTCTCTTCCCGTGTTAGCGGCTTCCTTTGGCCGCCACCGCCCTTCGTATGTATGGCAGCCCCTGTCGCACCTCCATCATCGGGGGCATCACCCTCCTCATTTTGCTCCTCCCGTTGTGCATTCCCGTACTGATCGAACGGGGCATCGCTTTGATCTTCCCTTCTGTATTCACTAATACGATCTTCATCAGGCGAAGCGGTTGGTTCGATATGGCTATGGAAGGAGCTACCCCTTTGGTTGACTCCATCCCGATGGTGTCTGCCACTGCGTGTATTGGAATGGAGATCCCACGTTGGATTCATGTCCACGGGATGTCCTCTTAACCCGTTTGCATCTTTACCCATAGATGTAGAACCCATGGGTCCGTGGTTCACGGGGAATACCCCGAACGTATCAGTTTGCGAGCCGCTCTGTTTATCTCCCATGATAGGAGGCCTGTTGAAAGGGTCACCACTAAGGAGGTGGTTTGAGCTCCAGCCATCTTCATTTGCCTCTGGATAGTTCCTCCTGAGGGAGCCAGCCGTACCGGGGGGGGCGGACGGAACGTTCGCACTGACGTTCCCACTGAGGTTGCCCCCCATCCCGCCGCTCATCCCCCATGCCATATTGGGGCCACTCTTCGAAAGAACCGCGTTATTGGGAAACCTAACCGGGAAGGGCGCATTTGAAGGGGGGCCCAACGGAGGGGGCACCCCTCCCATTAGCAAATGGGTGTTGGGTGGTCTGCCCACATCTTCATAATAGCTATCCATGCCGCTTGGATTGCCTAATGGACCCTCCACGTAGTCAAGTCCTCCCCTGTGGTTTTTACTACCGATGCTTCCCGCCGGGCCAGCATTCGGATGCATAGGAAAGATGCCTTCCTCGTGCCCATCCAGCACCTCATCCGAAATGTACGGAGGGCCTCCTCTATCCTTCTGCTGATTCGAATTATGGTTCAAGTTATTGCTCATGTTAAACTGTCTATTCAGTGGATTTCCATTTGGAATTAAAGGGATACTATTAGCATTGAGCGAAATGTAGTTGGGGTTTCCTACCCCCCCTTTGTCAGACATCTTCACGTTGTTCATCTTTTGTTTGTTCGTTAGGAGGGAAGTGTTAGGGGTGGAGAAGTTTCCATAGGGGGGGAGGTTCATTCCATTTCGGTTCATCAATGGGTTCTGGTACGGAGGCATGCTGGGTGCACCAGGTGGGCTCGGTGGGATGGGCACATTGGGAAGGTTTGCTCCCTTTGGTACGCCTGGCGGGCTGGGCTGTCCGTCAGTGAAAGTTATCCCTTTGCTGACGGCGTCCCCGTCAGGGGGAGGCGGAATGGCATTCGCCATCAAACCGATATTCATACTGTTCATCCCTGTGCGTTCGAAGGTGGGATTGTCCTTCGCGTCTATGTCACCCAGGATGTTGCTGTTCTTCTGCCCCTGCCCCTTCCTCATTTGCCTCATCGGGGGGGTCTCCAGGAGGGGCGGGGGTCCTCCCTTGTGCATGAAGTTGGGATTGTTAATAAAATTGGGGTTGCCCATAAGGCTAGCCTTGCCCATAAAGTTAGGGTTACCAATGAGGTTCGGATTGCCCATAAGGCTGGGGTTGCCCAAAAGGCTGGGGGTGCCCATAAAATTGGGATTCCCCATGAGGCTGGCGTTCCCCATAAAGTTGGGATTGTTAATCCTGTTGGGGGTGCCCCCGCTCACCTTCGCCTGCGCATCGTTGGCGCGAAGGATGGGCTGTTTTCTACCACCGTACGATCTGCCGTCTGAATACGGTGGGGGAGGGGCGACTATGTTATTCGGATCGCCAGGATTTCCACTCGGCTGTGTCATGTTATTCCTATTTGCATTGAGAAAAAAATCGGTAGATTCTTCCGCCAGGTTATTAGCTCCGTTGCCACTGGTGCCCATCATATGTGCGGCTTCACTGTTTATGTCATTGGGGTTTGCCGCTGCGGCATTCGGGGCGATGGGGCCTCCAGCGGCTGTCTCCATGCCTTCTCCGAATGGGTTATTAGCACCACTGATGTTGCTGGCATTACCAAGGTTGTTACTCTCCTCCATGGCGAGCATCGACTGACTGAACATATTCTGCTGGTGATGCGGGTGGAGCAGGAGACCGGAGTCGTAAAAATCATCATTCGCGAAGAGAGCCGCCGCGTTCTTATTCTTCATGTTTCTCATTTTCTTGTTCTTCTTGTTCTTCTTTCCCCCCCTCCTGCTCTTCATGCCTTTCATTTCGTAGTCTCTAAGATTCATATTTTTTCTGTTTCCGAGGTTCATTTGGTCATGGTGAAAAAAGGGGCCATTGGGAAGGTTGCCATTCGGAATTAGGTCTCCTAATGTGGGGTCATACCATGGGCCGTTCGGATTCATCATGCCAGGGGGTGGGGGCTCTAATCCATTTTTCTCTTCTCCAAGAATGGTACTCTGCATCTTCCTGTTTTCCTCCAAGTCTATATTACTCCTTAACACATGAGCAGGATTGTATCCTACCTCGCTGAACATCATCCCACTGGTAGCATTTCTACTGTGAGTGTCAATAAGGTTTGGGTTTCCACTGAACATGTCGTCGCCATCATTTTTGTTGCCTTTGGGATCGAGTCTGAGGTGGTAATCGCTGGTGTCCTTTCCAATCCGATTGTACCTCTCTTCCTCGTTGGGGTTGCCTATTGGGGGGTTTCCGTGGCGACTTCTGCTTCGCCCGGGGCGCTTGCCGTCCGGAGATGCGGAGGGGCGCCTGTTGCAATCACGCTCTCGATCGCGGTGGCGGCTCCTATCCCGGTTTCGGTCCCTATCCCGGTCGCGATCCTTATCTCGATTGCGATCTCTATCCCGGTCACGGTCTCTATCCCGGTCACGGTCTCTATCCCGGTCGCGATCTCTTTCCCGGTCGCGATCTCTTTCCCGGTCGCGATCTCTTTCCCGGTCGCGATCTCTATCCCGATCACGATCTCTTTCCCGGTCACGGTCTCTTTCTCGGTCTCTCTCCCATTCCCTCTGCGGGGGCTTCCCATGCGCGTAGGCATCCCTGTCTCGGCTCCTCCTATGCCCATGGCTTGGAGAGCGCCTGTCGCGACCGCTCCTCTTAGGTGAGCGGGGGGCATCATCGTGCGTCTTGTTGGTGTCCTTCTTTTCTGTGGGTTTGTTCTTGGTGTGTCTTGTGTCTTCCTGGTGGGTGTCCTCGCGCCGCTTTTCATCATGGCGCTTGTCCTCTCGACGCCTCTCCTCGTGCCGCTTATCCTCGTGTTGCTTCTCCTCGTTCCGCTTCTCCCCGTTGCGCCTCTCATCCGTCTTCACCCTCTTCCGCCTGTCATCCTCCCCCTTGGTGTGCCCACTCTCCACTTCGTGCTTCTTCCTTTCGTGCGCTCTTTTCGTCTCGCTTTTGGCGTCGCTGTTTCTTCTTTCCTCCCCCCTTCGCTTTTCTTCATGTTTTTTGTGGCTGCTCTTTGCCCTATCGCTTTGTCCCTCCTCGTGGTCACCCTCGTACTTGCTGTGGTGGCTTTTTCTCTTCATATTTCAGGCTCGCTTGAGTCGGGAGATACAAATGAAGAAAGCGTCTCCCCGTTGAGCAGAGGTCATAACAGTAGTGAGAGGTGGAACCTCCAGTCGATGTGACGCTTGCGGAGGCAACGGGAGGGTAAGTCCCTTCACGTTGGCACAAAGCCGTTAGCTTTTTTTTTTTCTTCTTCCTTCTTCATCCTCTTCACATGCGAGGGAAGTAGATAAGTAAAATGATCAGCAAAATGGAAGTGACTCCCCTCTGAAAGGTACCTACATCACTGACAAACCTTCACGTGGAATATTCACTCAGCAAAGTAGGTATATACGTAGCAATGCTATACAAACGGGATGAAAAAGGAGAAGCGAAAAAATTCACCACGTTGCTGGTATGTAAAGATGGCACATAAATCCTGTAGCAATATCGGCGAAGTTATCGCTATGTGGTCACTTCCTCTCTTTTTTTCTTTTTCACCAGGTTGGATGAGGAAAAAAAAAAAAGGAAGGGGAAAACAAAATGGGCTAATCGAACGCTAAACAGATTGCCCCTTTTCGCGGTTTAAAGCGTTTTATCAAAAAAAAAAAAAAACTATGAACGCAGAAATAGCAACGGGAAAATACCTTTTCCACGATGGAAGAAAAAAATTTCCCTGAACAGGTCAGGTAAAATTTCGTGTGGTGCGAAATAGTATGCCGAAAAGATTTACTCATCTTTATAGGTGCCTGTTTGGGTGGAGGACGGGGTTTCTCGCCTTGGCCCAGTTGTACCCACTGATCGAGTACTCAGGTTGAGGAGCGGAAAAGAACCCTCCAGGGGACCTCCCGCCCCCACGATGTCGCAGTGGAAGTTGAAACGGCGTGGCTGTTCAGAAGGGAAAAAAAAAAAAAGAACACAATACAGTGCAGTGCGATACAATACAATGCAATGACGTATGGGCATTCCTATAATGGTGCTTCCCCCATCTGGGAATCACTGCTCGTTGTCTTCACACGAACGAGGTGTGCACATGTGATTAGTCGCGTCACCCCACTGGAAACTCCAACCGTGTGTGTGATGAAGGCACACGGGAGGAGGAGAAACTTTTCTCACACTGGGTTGACCTCCAATTGGAGGTACACAGAAACGGGTAAGAAGAAAACTGAAGAGGAGGAATGAGGGGGGAGGGGGGGTCCATCCAAGTCCCGCCGCTTCCACCACCCGATTAAAACATAACATAAGGAGAGGCCCACATTCCGGACATCGGATTGATTAACGCGCGGGGACGAAGTTTTTGTAGTGTCGGTATGGAATGTCCTTCAAATAGGTCTGAGCCGATTCGGGCAGTTCTTTCACGTAGGTGGCAGGGCACCCTGCATACTTTGCGAAAGAGGCAATGATGGTGTCGTTGGGGATGTATGTGTTGTTCTTTATAACAACATTGTCCTTGATTACTACTCGCTCCCCTACAACACAGTTGTCCCCTATGACGACATTGCTTCCGATGAGCGCCGCCTTGATGATGCATTCGTTTCCGATGTAGACATTGTCGCCGATGGTTAGGGTTACGTATGAGCTGGTTGGCGGCTCATCGGTTGGGCAAGGTTCGCTTCCGTTGCTTCGGTTGCTTCGTTCACTTGGGTCGTCCTGGTCGTCGTCTTTGGCGCCCTCCCCCTTTTGCGGTTCCCTACCCTGGAGGAAGCACGGACAAATGAGCGTCTTCGACCCGACAATGACGTACTTTCCAAAGTAGAGGCTACTGAGATCGCCCCTCAACATGGCTCCGCTCTTTATGATGGACTTCCCCAACATGTGGATATTTTTCATGCCGCAGAGAATGGAATCCCTACTGACCTTATTTCCGGACGCCGTCAAAATGTATTCCGCGCGGTTAAACGTTTCCGCCTTCTGGAACGTCGCTGTGTTGTATGCCTCGAGATATCCTTCACTCAACAGGTTCATCAGCCGCGCCGACCCCTCGCTCATCTCATTCATTGTGCAGAAAGGGGCATTATGCGTGGGGGGATGATCTAGTCGCCAGATGAACACTTGAAGGAAAAAAAAAAAGACGACGCACTTCTGCACAGACGTATGAACAAGTGGGAGTAAAAACGCCGGGGAGTATTTACTCAAAAAAGGGAAGTGAATGCTTTCCTTTCGGGTTGGTACAGGGGGAGGTACTTCTCTCTCCCATGAAGGGGCAGACATTAAAGAAACGTCATTTGGGATAATCGCTGCAGTGTGTGTTGTGAGCTTCGTGCCGTGGGCATATGAACATGCAGGCAATTTTTTTTTTTTTTTTTTTGCTCCCCCCAGAATTACTGTTCAGCGGAGCACACATATGTTGGCAGCGGTTGTCAAAGGACGGCAATGTGACCTTTACGCAAATGTGAAGTCCTGCACCGGGAAGCGGCAAGAAAATCAGCAAGGGAGGGACGTCGCCAAGTGGGGGAGGTACAGAAGGGAAGCCAGCCCATCACGTCATGAGAACGGGGGGCGAATGAAGAGAAGGCACCAACGGGGTGGTGGACAGATGAGGCGCAACAAAAGGTCGATGGGTAGGGAAAAAAGAAAAAAAAAAAAAACAGCTAAAAGGCTATGCGATCGAGATTTTAATTTGAAGAAAAAAAAAAACCAATAGGGAGACTCCTTTGAAGGGACAATTCGTGAAGTAGATCCGAAAGGGAAGAAGAAAGAAGAAAAAAAAATACTGAAAAAAAACTCACTCAAAAGGAAGTGAAGAAAATGATGCAAGTGAACCCAACGAACGGAACGGGCCAAACGAATAATGCCTGTTGGGGGATGCGGGAGAACGTCAGGACAAGCGCGAATGATGCCCCACTGATGGAACGACGCAGCGAGGACATGCCTACCTCCATTCACAGATACGAGAGAGTATACATGAGCTACCTGCACTTACACTTCTGCGTCATCGACTTTAAAGATACCATGTTCATTTCGGTGACGGACGAACGTAACGAGTTGACAGACCTGCAGGTATCCTACCCGCTGAAATATGTAAGTGTTATAGGCAGGAGAAGACGTGGAGAATGGACTCCCTCGCGTGGGAAAAAAGAGAGGAAAAATGGGGTGGTGTACCCTTCGATGCGTAACCAAGTCCCATGATTACCTAGGGCACACTTGGAGACACTGTTATAGAAACTCCACAGCAAGCTGCTTGCCGTCTTGTTGTTGTTACTGAGAGGACGCCGCGTTTGGGGGGAAAACAGAAACCCTCCGTCAGAGAAGCAAATAATGATGCTGTTGCGGGGTGCATCATTTGACTTAATTTCTTTTTTTCTTTTTTTTCCTCCTTTTCTTCCCCCTCAGGTGGATGCTGATAACACGGCGTGTCTGGTCGGGGAGCCCCACTCGCACGGAAACGACGTGGCGCGGCTGCTAGGTAGGAGCGGCCAGACAGCAGCACAAAACACCTCCAATAACCGCAACCCTGCCAATCAACGGAGAAAACTCCATCCCGCGTGCCACTTTCTCTCATCCCGCGCGCCACTTTTCCCCCCAACCGCAGGCATGAAGTTTAGGATCCCCTTCTACGTGAGCGTCAACGTGGACGAAGGAGACGAGGGACTGACCAATTTTATCTTCTCCACCTGCCTGGAGATACTAAAGCCGCTATTCAGTGACAAGAGAGGAGACTCCACAGAGGGATGACCCTACATAAGGATGCTCACGTGCAGATTTGCACATGTGTTCTCTTGATTCCCCCTTTTCGAAAGGATCACATTACGGCGATGCCTTCATCCGACCCCACTACGCGGTCGTGGTACGACGTTGCTTTTCTTTCTCTCCCCCTTTTTTTCCATTTGTCATTTTTATCCTCCCCAACGTTCAACCTCCCTAGCGGCAAAAGTAAAGCGAGCCGACGTGCCGCCCCCTCCCATGTTTCAAGCAGACGTTTGTTCCTCATCTGAGGGTACTACATTGCATTGGTTAGCTCCAACCTGTGGGTGTAGCTATCTAAAAAAAAAAAACACAGACACATTACTTGCCTGACTGACGGTGAAGAGAGGTGGGGCGATGCGACGAGCCACGGCATCTTCGAGTCAGCCGCATTGGTAAAAAAAAAATAATAAGAAAAAAATAAGAACAAACAAAGGAGCAACATACTACTCAGCAACACGTTCAACGAAGGGACTCAAACGACGCAGCTTAACGCGTCAAGTGACCAATGAGGGGGAACAAAAAAGGTGACTGGGGAGGTGTTACCACTTCTGCTACGCCATTAAAGAGGAGGGAGCCACCAAAATGGGGAAGAGGCAAATCTCAAAAAAGGATAACAACAATGAACAGAGAAAAAGAAAAAAAAAACTCTAATTGCGGGTCAGAGGAACCAAAACTGATCTTGAGAAAGTAAAATATGTCATTTTTCTTTTTGTACCATTTGGCTATATATTCCCTGGTTAGCTTCTCACTGACGTGTATTCTGCGAAGCGGGAAGAGTCCTGCCTACTTGGGGAACCACCCCCGGGACGCCTGTCCGTTTGTGCGACAGCCAGTAAGAAGGAGGAAGAAGAGCCGCGCCGAGACGGGGAGGCAGGACTGCATCACTCCATGTGATACGAACTGTGTAAGGGACACCTACCTGTTTGCAGAGGGGACAATTGGACCCCATGATGGGTCGACCTGCGAAGGGGGGATGATCCCCGGCGGGGGGGAAATTACCACATCACGGAGGGAAGAGGACCCACTCGATGGGGAGGCCCCGCAGAAGGGGGAACTCTCTTCGCACCAGATGGATACAAAAGAGAATCGATTCGCTACGATAAGGAGCGGCGTGGACAGACTTCTCTTCGTCAATAGGAACCTGTTTTATACTCTCCAGGAGGGAGGTTGCCTCACCATCGAGGGGGGCTCCCCTGTTGACGTGAAAAAGAAGAAGAAGAGGGTGCACGCCGATGGTAAGTGCCCAGAGGAGGTAGAAATGCTGCTACAAGGAATGTGCAACTTCGCTTTCAATGAGGAACCGCTAACAATGTATACCGATATGATCAGACAGATCGTCGACCAGGGGGTGATTCCCTTGGCCATTGGAGAGTCCCGAGGAAAAGTCGATTCCTTGGACAGGGAGTTTCTCAATTACATAGCGGTGCTGTTGTTGCGCGCGGGGGGGACTATCCCGATGGGGAGTGGCTCATGGGAAGGTCCCCCATTGGAGGGTGCCCCATTGGAGGGTGCCCCATTGGAGAGTGCCTCATTCGATGGCGCCGCTAGTAGGGATGCCCCCTTCCAACGAAGCGACCACGTGAGGGACGTGGCCAAAAAGCTGCTGCTACTGAAGGAGGCAATGGTTAAGCTAGCCAAAGAGCATAAAATACGAATGGACACACTCTACATAGACGAAGAGACAGGAGATGTGAAGGTCAGACGGAACAGCTTCGAGGATGGGAATGAAAGGAGAAGTAACTGGAAGTTGATTTTTCTCGGGACAGGGTCCATGTATCCATCAACCAACAGAGGCACATCATCCTTTCTCCTCCAGACGACAAAAAAGAAATGCAACGAGGCGTTCCTCTTCGACTGTGGAGAGAATACCTTCATTTCTCTGCAAAGGGCAAACATAAAGATTAGCAAAATAAAGAATATTTTCATTACGCACCTACATGGAGATCACTGCTTGGGCATCATCTCTGTCCTCACCATGTTGCGCAATACAAACAGGATCAATATTTACGGCCCGGAGGGGATTCACCGTTTCCTGAGGAACACCTTCCGTTCTACCTACTCGAAGCGGATGGCCCGATTTTTCGTGTACGAGATGACGAGGACGGAGGGGGCGACAACCCAGCCTGGCAAGATGGCTTCTCCCTCCGGGGGAAAGAAGCGCCATGACGTGGAGTTCCTCCTCCCAGACGAGCACAACACTTATCCAGTGCTTCGAAACGATTACGTAGAAATCTTGGGCTTCCCGATCAAACACACCGTCCCTACCATCGGCTACATCGTACGGGAGATAAACGTTGAGAGTAAGTTCAACGCATCTTACATAGATGAGCTTATTAAGAGAAACTACGACGAACTGAAGAAATGCGAAAAACTGGAGTTTATCCCCCACAAGATATATGAGCATGTCATTCGGAAAATGAACACTGGAGACGTTGTAGTCTTTCCAGACAAAACGAAACTTACGTTTGGTGATGCCTACAAAGAGGTGTACCAGGGGAGGAAGATCGTCATCTGTCAAGACACGTACGATGCATCCAGTTTGGAGAAATTCGCTACCGATGCGGATGTTCTCATACACGAGGCCACAAACAGTTTGATCGATCTGACTGACCAGAGTGTCGCTCCTCCGGATGGGTTCTGTGGGGATCATATGGAGCCGTCCCTTCGAAGTGGCGTCCCTGGGGGAGTGGAAACCGCGTCTGAGCACGTTGACGGGGCGGCAAACCAGGCTGACACTGCGTCTGAGCAGGTTGACGACGTGGCAAACCAGGCTGACACTGCGTCTGAGGAAGTTAACACCGCCGCAAACCACGCGAAGAGCTCCTCTAAGCAGGTTCTCCCCGATGTCGTCAGAAAGTACAACAAAATCATTGCCGAGCGGGGGCACTCCACGGCCAACATGGCGGGAACCTTTGCCCGAAAAATAAACGCCAAGAAGCTGATACTGACGCACTTCTCGCAGAGGTACATTGGAGACAATAAACTCAAGAACATCGCCATCATGCGTAGAATCGAGCGGGAGGCAGAGGAGTCCTTTGCAGGGACCACCCAACGGGAAAGTGAAGACAGCGCCGACTGCTCCAGCACCACTGCTGGAAGTTGCGATGGGGAAAAGGAGGTCATCGCTGCGTATGATGGGCTAATCGTGTATGTCCCTCCGCAGAGGGTAAAGTGAGTGGGGCGTCCGTCTAACCTGAAAGCAGTGGTGAATGGGAAGGGTGCCGTTCTGCAAAGTGCAGCTCTGTTGTGGGCCATTCTGGAACTTGCGCACCTGTGTGTGTGCCTTTCTGCCACTTGCGCACCTGTTTGTGTGCCTTTCTGCTTCGTCCTATGGGTAGCGGTTTTGAGAGGCGAGCAGAACGAGGCCACAGCGGGGCTCACCTCGCAGGGATGCCCGCGCTCCATTCATGGGTATCCCTCGCTTAGTTGCGTCTGCATTTCCATGACGGGTGATAATACCACCCATTGGTACGGTCCCAATTCGCTTGAATTTCACGCGGTCGGCCGATCAGTCGATCGGTTGACTGTTTTTTGTTTTCGATTTTTTGTTTCTTATTTTTTGTTCTTCATTTTTTGTTTTTCATTTTTTGCTCTTTATTTTTTGTTTTTCATTTTTTGCTCTTTATTTTTTGTTCCTTATTTTTTCACTTTTCCCGTTTGGAGTGGCCACCACCTTGGCGTGCGTCCCTTTGGGCCACTCCCCATTTTGACTTAACTGGACTGAAGGATCCCCGTGAGGTGCGAAAAGGCGATACCTGTGTAATTGACCTTCACACAACACTGGCATACGAGGGGTGCAGGAAAATAGGGGAAACTGGGAGGAACACTGAGAAGGTGACTGGGAACACGGTGAAGTTGACAGGGGAACACTTAAAAATGCGGATATGAGCGCTCAGCAAAATAGGGTCTTCTCCGGAGTGGCAGGGCGAGGAATACGTGTCGTCCGTCCTCCTTTCGCGCAACTGGCGGGCCAACACGTACATATGTGCAGTGGGGCAGGCCCCGCGTTCTAAAACGACCTGGCGCCGGGGTGTATGCTCGCGAATGCAATTGGGAGGAAGAAAAAAAGGGGGAAACAAAAAAAAAAAAAAAAAAAAAAAAAAAAAACGAATTGAGAAATATAATACGTGAAAGATATAGCGAACAGAACTGCAAACAGGACTGCAAATCGAAGGACAAATCAAAGTGCAAACCACACTGCACAGATACATTAATGAGCAAAGACTCGCAGCGGCAAAGTGACACATCGCGAAGCATGGCTGGGTGACGAAGCCACGCACAAGTTCGCCGCGTTTGCCTTTCCGCACGAAAGACAAAAGGAAAGGAAGCGCGTCCGCCATCCGGTAACCTGGCACGCGTTCATTTCGTGCCAATTTTGAGTCAAACTTCTTCTCAATTGACACAAAGTGGAGAAAAGTTTCCCCGTGTAAATTTCCAGGTGTGGAGGGGGGAAGAGCATTGCGCCAATTTAACCCCCGCAATCCGCAGCGCCCTCGGTTTGTTAACTAGCCATTTTTTCACCTGCACAGTTCAGGCGATTTTGACGTACACGGAGGAATTTTTTTTTTTTCAAACCTTTCATTTGGAGTTGTATCAGCCCCGTTTGAACGGAAAAGGAAGCGTGCGTAGGTACGTTCTCCACCTGCACATTTGTGTAGCAGCGCCGGGGAGTCGTATTAACGGCGCGGATTGGTCCGTGCATCACATTGGCTAGTGCTGCCCCGTCATCACCGCGGATGGGGAGGAAGCTGTAAGGAAGCCTCGTCGAAGCAGCGAAGAAGACACTGCTCCTTTTCGAAGTATCATCCGAGGGAAGTGACAAAATGGGCACCCAGGATGCGCAAAGTAAGGATGGAAGGGAAGGAGGCGGACGGAGGGACAGGCAGGATGAGCAAGGAGTCCATAGGAGAGGAGATTCCCTCGGAAGCATCGACGATTATCACTTGCTAAGCGGTGAGGGGATCGCTGACAGCGAGTTAAAGGACGTGGATAAGGAGCTGGAAAGGATGACAAACATGGGGGAGCTAAAGGAAATGACGTCCGAGGAGTTTAGGGATCTGATGGGAGGTGACGCGAATGGAGGAAACCTAAGTGTCCATTTCAATCCCCCGAGGAAGTCCCAAAAGGAGAAGAACCCGTCTAGGTTCTCCCAAATGAGTTTCCTCAACGATGATTTTCAGCAAAAGGAGGACTCTCATTTTAGCAATCTGAATTCCAAATCCAGTCGGAAGAGAGACAGTCACTTGTCATTGGGGAACATGCGTAACTCTTCGATCTTTAACTTAAGCGTAACGGACGACAATGGAAAGAGGTGGTCACACAATTACAACTCTGGAGGGAATGAGAGGTCTCGTGTTTCCCTTTCGCGCACGGATAATGCGTATGATAGCGATCTGATAACGCCTTCTCCGTCGAAGGGGCAGGGGGAAGGGGGGAGCTCCGAGGTGGAGCCACAGAAGGGGGGCCCCAGGAGAAGTGGCGATCTAAGTAGCCAGGGACGTGATACACGGAGTGGGAGACGTTCCATTGACGTGCTAGAGGAGGAGCTAAACAAACTGAAAAGAGGCTTCCTGCTAAACAATGGGGAAAACAGTCACATGAGTGACAAATCGAATGAAGATCCCCTGGAGGGAGCATACGTAAGCGATTCTGAATTTTTAAAAAGAACCTCCCTAGACAAGAAAATAAGTGTTGACCTGAATTTTGGAAATGATGATTCATTGACTAACAGTAGATTATCAAATGGGAGCTGCTCTTTATGGGAAAGCAGAATCAGCAACTCTAGGAAGATACGAGTAAATAATGAGACGCCAAAGAAAGGAATCCTAAAACAGAGCAACTCTTTTTCCCCCATAAAGGAACTACCAGACAATATTAGTGCACGAAAGAAGTCGGTGCAGTTTTCCCATAGATCTATTGCCGTTTTCGATGACAAAGAGAAAGTATCACCTCTACATCTAACTCACTTTACTAGAATTTCTAGCGATTCTAATAAGTCCGAAATGAAACGGAGCAATGCATCTAACGATTCTAATTCGGATAAAGAGAAGGTCGACACATTTCATGAAAATTTGGCTAATAGCATGGATAAGTCCCCAATCGATGAGCTACTCTATCGATATGACAGTTTTAGCGGTGTGAAAAGAAGCTCCATTGGTTACCCGATCGATGGAAATGCACCTGATGATTTCATCAGGAGAATGTCCTCTGAATCTTTGCGATTTAAGACGAAGACATCTGTGGATATGGTTCAGTCGGCTCGGCTATCCCCCATTAAGAATAGATCTAAGGGGGTCAGCAGCAGAAAGAGTAACCCTCTGGATGGAGACAATCACGAGGGGAAGGAGGAGAATCAGGGGCAGGACGAGCAGGAGGACGTTCTCCATAAATTGCTAACCACAGACATCGACAATATAAAGGAAGAGGATTTCCTAAAATTTAGCCTCCTTAGCGACTCCGGGGAGTTTAGAAGCTACGGGCGGGTGGATAGCGGCGAGAAGACGTATGAGAGGGCCCCCAGTGAGCGCTCCAAGGGGGGCGCAAGAGTGACGCATAGGGGAGAATCACACAAAGGTGTAGAGGCAGATGAAGCTGATGAAGACGGGGCGCAAGGCCATATGGAGGACAAATCCATCCATCGAAGAGAAGGAGACAAGAGTGAAGTGTTTTATGAGTGTAATGACAGTGTCGTTTCGGTGGCGAGGAGAGCGGCAGCGGGATCGACGGGTGAAGAGGGGACTAAGAGCAACTGCAGGGTGAAGGAAGAGGAGGGGAAAGCTAGAAGCGGACAGGAAGGGGAGGAGCCGGACGACCCACTCGATGCGAAAAAATCCACCAGTGCAGAAGCGCTGTGTAAGGAGGAGGAATTGAGGCACGACACTCACGTAGGAACTATCGGTAGGAAGTCCACCATGGAGAGGCTTCCCATCGAGGAAGCAGTGCCGAATACGGAGAACGTCACCATACAGTATAGGGCGTCCACACATAGGCGCAGCGAACACGCGAAGGGGGTCAGCACAGAGGACGCTTCGCCTCAGGAGGACAAGGCGAAGGAGAACCGAGGTGAAAGCGGAAATTCAGCAGATGGTGACGCTCATGCTGCGAGTGGAGGTCACTTGGGAGGAGAGGCGCAGCCGAATGGGCAGTCGAGTAGGCAGTCGAATAGAAAGCCAAACGGACAGCCGAATAGGCAGCCAAATGCACTGCCGAACAAGGGGGACGAACCCAATTTGAGGCGGTTCGCTGAAGGTAGGAATGCCACCAAGAGGGAGACGATAAACGTAGGGCTAGCCTCCAGGGAGGCGGAAAATCAAGAGGCACAGAAAAACAGTTTTAGGGTGGCCAAAGCGAACAGGAGAGCTAGCTACAGTGTTAGTATGCATGCCAGGGACGATGAGGCGCAGACGAGATTCAGGGACAGGAAGAGCCTAAACGAGAGGGGAGAAACGGCTGGGAAGAGTGTGCAGATGGGGAGGCTTTCGGGGAAGCCCCAAGTGGGCGCCGCGAGTAGGATGAGCCTGCGGGGGGATAATAAAGTGGTGGAGGAGGAGGGCGGAGAAGGGAGAGAAGCTGAAGAAGTGGAAGAAGTTGAACACGTGGAAGACGTGGAAGAAGGGGGAGAAGCCGATGAAGTACCAGAAGCGGATGAAGACAAAGAGGCTGTGCTTCGAAAGGCGGAACTGTTTAATCGGGGGGGAGGACAACAATACACGCAACAAAGGAACTACGAGGGGGAGGAGGTCCACGTGGAGGAGGGCCCTTTGCAGGTGGCGTGGGAAGAGCCTGGGCAGGTGAAGGCCCGAGGCAGATACACTACGCACATCGGACAGGGAGCCTTCCGGGGAGGATCCAGCGACGACCTCCAAGAGATGGTCAATCAGGGAAGGGCCAATTCGGACGAAGGGAACTATAAGAAGTATGTGTATGACGAGGTGGAGCGGGGTGAGGAGGACGTAGGAGAGGGGTTCCCCATGGAGGATGATTTAGACCTCGCCGCGGAGGAGGAGGCGTTTCGCAGCGCTGATATGGAGCCCTACGGGGAGGGGGAAGAGATGCACGAGGAGGAAGCAGAACAGAGGAACCTCATGGATGACGCAGAACAGGGGAACTTCATGGATGACGAAGAACAAAGAAACCTCCTGGAACAGTCGCGACGAAGACGGAGGGAAGAGAACCAAGAACTGAAAAAAAAGCTGAACGAAAATTTGATAAAAAAACAGGAGATGATAAAACAGATGACCCTGGCAATCGTCCGAAGGTGTCGGATCTCCTCCCTGAGGGAGCTAAAGAGTAACCGAAGAAATCTTACAAACCTCATGCAGCTGTACCAGCACATACGAGACATGATGTTTTCATTCGTCGGGAAGATAAACCATCTGAACAATGTAAGCGTCAAATTGGATGATGCCATTCTAAAATATGAAGTGACACAGCTCAGATGTAGCAGAACGAAGAAAGCAATTGAAACTCTAAAAAAGTATAACGGAAAAATGGAGATGAAGGTAAAGGAGAAAAAGAATCTACTGACGAAACAGGACAATGTGTTGGATAAAAAAATGAAGAAAATAGAAGAGATGACAAAGGAGCTGACAAAATTGAAGAATATATACAATGAAGGGTCTTCAAGAAAGCAGGAGATTCACTTAATCAACCTATACAAGAGAAAGATGGACGAGCTGAAGAGTCTCGAAATGGTTAAGGGTCTGATCATCAATAACTTCAATAAATATGGGATCAATTTCGAGGTACTCAACTGTAACTACTACAATTTTGCCACTCTGTATGATTACGAACGTATGGATTCATTTTTCCTTCGCCAAGGAGAAGGAGACGTCTTGATGAATGGGTTAGATCCAAACGGGGAAGAAACGGGACAAAACCAGCAGAAGGGACAAACAACAAGCGGTGTCGCAACGGGGGGTGCTATCCCGGGAATGACAGCCACGACCACCCATGGGTCAGTCCCTACACAGGAGGAACACCTCAGAAAGGGGAACAATCCACCTCTGTACGACATAAGCGATCTCTACGAACGAGGGTGCAGACTGAGAAGCAGTAATAAGAAGGGGAAGAGAAGCGCAACCATTCTTAACAGCCAAGTGTCAGAAGAGGACATGAATTGTGCATGGCCATATAACATTACCATTGATATCATTTTCTGCAATATGAACAATGTGGCGTTGCAGAAAGAGACGGACAATTATATGGTTTCATCTCCAGTGAAGATAAAAAATATGAAGCATCTCATTGCGAATAAGATGCACCTGTTGGGTGGGGAAAGCGGAGGAGTGGCAGGTCCCAGCGCGGAGGCAAATAGAAAGTATATCAAACTTTTCCGGCCCTACAAAATACAGACCAATTCGTTTGATAACTTTAAGGACATCACTTTGACGACGTATTACAAATATATAAGTAGCGACACTTTGTATCTGCACATCTGGAATAAGCGGCACGACAGGGAGAGTTACTCTCTTAGGGTAAATAACCTAAAAGATGATGGCAGACAGAAGAGGAGAAAACAGGCGCACCTTCTGAGGAAAGATATGGAGTTCTACTCGTACTACTGCAGTGATAGCCATGTCGGCGTGGAGTGGAAATTGCAACTGGAAATTGTTAAGTATAAGCTCCTGGAGGTGGTTAATAGGAGGCTCCAGAGGTATACCAATCGGGAGAGTGGCAACCTCGTCAGCGGCAATGCAAATAATGTGCACCATAGGCATCTGAACGCGAATGATCCAATCTTCCAGCAGAAGGCCGAGGCGGGAACGGCGAAGCCAAACAAAGAGGCCCTCATGTACCTCGTGGAGGAGGCCGAGTACGCCAGCATCATCCTGAATAATGTCCTCAGTCAGTACAAGCACCTACTGAAGTGTTTCCTCTGTTTGTCAAACACCTTTTTCGATTACCACCAAGACGTCGTCATCTTCAAGACGATCGTTTTGTCTCAGCAAATTTGTCCACACGCATTCTGGCTCTACCTCTACGTGAGTGGCGAGGCGGAAGCGGCGCGGCGGCCGTATGGAGATGGCATATCATGGCGTGGTGTAGCTTCTGCACAACGCGCAGTACGTAGCGCTCATTACCCACCGCTCACCATGCACTGCTTACTAATCACTTCCCTCTCTACACTGCTCATTACGGCGCTTCCTTCCTTTTCTTCTCCCCCGGCAGATCAACCTTGAGGAGGCGTTCACCTTCGCTTCGCTGCTCCACGGCATCGTCCAGGTGAAGGTGGAGAGCGTCGACGAGGACGACAAATACAGCGAAGAGTGTAAAACGCTGAACAGCAACATCGTCAAGACGCTGCAGCAGTGCATCTTCGCCCTCAAGTCGAAGTAAGTGGCGTGGCGTGGCGGCAGTATAGAGAAGTGGCATGGCATGCCGTGGTGTAGCTTCTGCGCAACGGAGCAGTGGTTCTGCCGCAAACCCATTCCACCGCAATTTCGTCACCCGTCTCTTCTCTCCCCCCCCCGTGTGCAGGCCCCTGGATCTCTCCGAGAGGATAAACTCCTACAACGTCGTGGACGTGATCTACGCCGTCGTCATGAATGGTAAGAATTTCCAGTGGAAGTGCAGCCCACAGAGTCACACCCGGTTAGGAGTCACCCCGCTAAGAGTCATCCGCCTGCCTAGACATCCATCCATCATTCCATCAATCCACCCGTCGATCCATCAATCCATCCGTCGATCCATCAATCCATCGGAATGTTTCCCCACCCGCTTCCCCCCCTCTGCAGAGAACTACAACTTCCACAGCTACCAGAACAACCTGGAAGACAACATAAAAAAGTTGACGTCGTGTGATACATTCATAAACGGTGTTGTGAGTAAGAACATCGTCGTCCCTATAGAGATTAAGAAGTGATGGCCACGTGAGGTGACGCGAAGGAGAAAGAGGAAGCAGCGCAGGAGGAGGGAGCAGAACAAGCCGTGTGGACCACCCAGGAGGGCACGTTCAAGGGGTCGCCCTCCTCCTCCCCGTACAGAGAAATACATCCATGGACCGCAAGAAGACGCCCTTCGAATGGCCTGCCAACACATTCCGAATGCACTACCAATGCAACAGTCTGTCGATGAAGGGAGAAAAGTATCATTTGAAAATCTTTTTAAAAGCGATGTGGGAGGGGAGTGAAAGAGAAGAAGAGGCAATATAATAGGGAAAAAGAAAAAAAAAAAAAAAAAACAAAAGTGCCCTTTTTTTTTTTTTAGTGTTAACCACCATTTAAGATTTTTTTTTTTCTCATTTTTTTGCCCCATTTTTTGCCTTTTTTTTTCCCCCCTTTTTTTTGCCCATTTTTAATTACTTTTTTAAGTCTTCAAAAAGTACATAAAAAAGAAAAATAAAATAAACAATGTGTGTGGTGAAACAAATGAATTGTATGAGTTAAAAAAAAAAAGAAGAGAGAAAAAAAAGACGCTCCAGCCGCTATGCTAGGCCTTCTTCGTTTGGAGGACAAAGGCGTACATGAAGTCCGGGTTGTCGATCTGCAGTGGGCGGGGGCGGTTAAGGGGGACGAATGAGTGGGCGCGACGAAAGGGTATGCCACGGTCGTGTTCACGCTTGGTAGAATGGTCGATTGGCAGAATGGCCGATTGGCAGTATGACCGCTTAGCTGTAAGGCCGCTTTACCGCCTTGGCACCCACCCCGAGGTCCTTCAGGTAGTCCTCCTTCATCGGGACGATGAAGATGGTAAGGTTCTTGTCGATGATGACGGGGATGTTCTTCTTCTTACTGAAGTGCTCGCAGATGTGCACGAATTTTTTCTTCTGTTTGACGGCTGCGGTGGAGAGAGGAGGTGGTGTGACGTGGCCATGAGTAGGTGTGCTTCAGAGGATGAATGGGTGTCCTCGAGCGGATGAATAGCTCTTCTTCAGCTGATGAACAGATGTAGTTCATTGCGCTGGGGAGCACCAAATAGGGAGGCCACTCCGAAGGTGTGGGGATCCTCTTCTCTCCCTTACTTGGTCCCAACTGCCAGACGGAGTAATCGATGCAGGAGTTCCGGATGTTCATGAGGTTTTGCACGTCGCTCTTTGTTTCGACATTCAGCTTTGGGTAGCTGTAGGGGGGAAAATGTGAAGGGGCAAATGTGGAGAGGAAGAAGTGGAGAGGCAGATATGGAGAGGAGGGTGTGGAGAAGAAAACGAGAGAGACGGACTAAGGAAGGAACCCTCATCGCTGCTTGAACGATGCTTCAACGACGCTTCACCCCTTTTCTTGACCTCTCCTCTGGACTTACATCTTCAGCTCGGGATTCCCGTCGTAGAAGTTGGAGATAAAGTCACACTTGTACTTCTGGTTGACATAGAAGGAAACCGTTTTTTGGATATCATTGTAGTCGTTGAGCTCGACGCCGTCCAGGCTGTTAAAATCGCTGTCTGTGTGTTCCTCCGCGTGGTTCCCGTTAGGGCCACGCTTCCCGATCTGGCTTGCTGAGCCTCCTTCCCCTGGAAAGCTATAGCCAGCGGCACCACCACGGTCGTCACTTGCACTATTTCGGCTTCTTTTTCTCTTGTGTCTTCTATGATGATCATAGTGGTGACGGTGGTGATTGTGATGATCGCGGTGATCGTGCTGATCGTGGCGATCGTAGCGACCGTGGTGATCATAGTCATCATGGTAACCGTGGTAATCGTGGTGGTAATAATATGACGTGGTTGTTCCCTTCCTTTTGGAAGACCGTCTTGTCTCCCTGTTATCATACCTTGAATGGCCATGCCCCCCACGTGTTTTATCATTGGCGGAGTTACTAGTTAGATGCGAATCGATGGCAGAAGATCGGTGTCTCCTCCTATGCAAGGAGGTGCTACGTGAATGATTTTGATCGATGTTGGGTCTTCTTCTCACATTGTAGTCGTCACTCCTGTCTGGGGCGTATCTTTTAATGCGAACCCCGTCTGTTCCTATATGGCTATCTCCTGTATGACTATCATGATTGTGTCCCTCCTTCAGAAGAAGCATCACTTTTGAGTCGATAAATCCATTGTTCCTCCTCCTCAGGGTGGATTCTAACCTCCCCTTCATCTCTCCATTATCGTACGCAAGTGAATCTAGCAGCCTCTTCCGAGTAATACTTATCTTCTGTTGTTTGATTTCCCCATCTCCAAGGATAGAAAAGTCTATGTTCAGCATGATACCGTTTGAGACCTGCAATCCATACATGTGGTTCCTCGCCTTGATAGCGTCAGTCACACTGGAATACTGGAGGAAGAGGCAGCTTTTCTCCCAGACATACTTGACGTTTTTCATTGGACCGAAGTGTGCGAACATGGTTAGGACAACACTGACTGTGTTGTCGAAATAGGTCTTTAAGATGTTTCCTATCCAGAGACAGCCGTTGGCTTTGATAGGGACAGAGAATGTCACTCTAAATTTGTTCTTTTCTAGCACCTTCTTTGCCTGCAGGCAATTCTTGATGGTTCTGAAGGTCAGGTGGGCATACCGCTTCCCGGGCGCTGCACCCGCGTCAGCCGCTGTGGCCGCTGTGGCCGCTGCACCCGCCTCATTCCCTGCACCCGCTTCATTCGCTTGATCCAGCTGCTCCAACTGCTCCTGCTTCTGCTCCTGTTGCTCCTCCTCCTCCTTGGCTTTCCCTCGCTTCCTCCTCTGCCTTGGCGCGGCCGCCTTTTTCGCACCCCTGCGCCTGCCCCCCTTGGGATTGTCCTCCGCTTCGTCCGCTCCCTGATTGACTGCTTCGTCGGCCGCCTGAGTAACTGCTTCGTCCGCCTCCGGATTGACTACTTCCCCTTCCTCTTGTTTCACTGCTTCGTCCGCCGCTTCATTGACTGCTCGGTCCGCCTCCGGATTGACTACTTCCCCTTCCTCTTGTTTCACTGCTTCTTCCGCCGCCTCAATGGCTGCTTCCTGCTCCTCCTCCCCCTTGATGGCATTCTTAAAGAACCTCTCCTCGTCCACTTCAATGGAGACAAAGAGGGAAACATCCACACACGAGGAGGGCACTTTCTCGCTGGAAAATAACTCATTTATGTGTTCCTTCACTTTGTTTTCATTATCCAGGTGGTCCGGAATGTTCGTTACGAGCAGGTAGCGATTGAAAACTTTGGTTGATCTAAATGAATCTACAGAATCGAGGTGATTCATTTCGACAGATGCATCCTGATCCCAATGTAGAACCGGTTTTGTCTTCCTCTCATTCCACGTTGGATTGTCTACCATCTGATTCTCTTCACTGATTCCAAAGGGGTTGTCCTCATTAAATGGGGTGTGTTCAAATGATTCGCCGTTCAGATTCACTTCCCTTTCAGATGTGAACAGCGGGTTCTGGTACCTTCTATGTCTACCTGTTTCGCTGTACCTTGCAAGCTTCGCCGATTTCACTATATGTGGTGGTTGCGCTCTCTGTGCCCCGTGCGGGGTATACTCCTCATAGTTGGCATACAGCGTGTGGGGGTAATCCTCACCGCTGGCGACGTTCCCGTAGGAGGTGTTCCCGCCATGGTGTTGGTTATTACTCGCATGGGATCTGTAGAGGCCGCTGCTATACGGAGGCATTGTGGCGGAGGCAGGGTGGTCCCTGGTACGGGGGATTATCAGAAGAGGAGGTTGATTTCCTCCCATGGGATGATTAGCCGTGCTGGCTTCCGCATGAGTGGAGCTTCCAATCAGGTGAGGGGGGGGAGGCACTCCCTTCATGTGTAGGCTGATACCAGACGTGGGATGCTGATTGGAGTAGGAAACGTAGGGAGGGTTTCCAGGTGGGGCTTCAAAGCTGTTCTTTTTATACCCGCCTGAAAAGGTGTTGGGAAAATTTGCGGTCATTTTTTTGCTCTTCACGGGGGGAGGTAGCAGCGGGTTATTTGGCATTCTGTTCACAGGGCCTCCCCCCCCTGGGTAGGAGGACGGGTGGTGGATGTTGTTGGGGTGCCTACCTGGCGGATTGTTCGGGTGACTATAATGAGGGTAGGATTCCATCTGACCTCCTCTCCCCGACTCGTTGAACGACTGGCTATACAGCGTTACGGACCTCGGCGGGGGGGGAGGGGGGGGATGCACATAATTAGCAGCGTTATTGAGGGGACTCATGTCATGGAGAGCGGCCTCATCCGGATGGTGGATCCGATTGTGATGGTGCTTGTTCGGAGTGCCGCCCCTGGTGTGGCCGTGCAAGTGGCTGTTTATCGGTGCCTTCCCCTGTTGACTGAAGGGCATTTCGGATGGAGGGACGAATTCGTTCAACCTATTTGTACTGGATGGTGGGGGGACAAAGTATGCTCTGCTATTCACATGGGGTGCCATACCTCTGACTTCACTGTTGTATGTAAAATGGGTGGCCTCGTTGTTCTGAGCATGTGTCGGAATGGTGTTCTGATAATACTTCCTATTTTTATATAGCTTTACCGGTGTCTTTCCGTTTTTATGGTTTCCTGATATGTCAGGATACGACGTGGTGTAAGCATCGTTTGGCGTTCTTCTCATTTCACCTGTGACAAGTGTGTCCTCCCCTTGTGCAGAAGCACCATCCACCCTCGGATCATCTCCTCTCTCCTGATACGTCCCGTAAACAACTTGTATTCTCCTATTTTTAATCTTCAAATGATCAAGATATTCCTTTGCCCTTTTGGAGCTCTTAACCGAATTGAAGATGACGTGGACCCCCTCGTTGTCGTCTATAAAGGAGAGTTTCACTTTCCCGAAGATATTCATCAGGGAAGTTAATCTGTGACTGGACATGTCTGTGTAAAAATTGAGAAGAATCACTTCTTTGTTTAATTCGCTATTTGTTTCAATTCGATCGTACGGAATTTCGTCTTCTACCACTTCTCCTTCTTCTTCCTCATCGGATGACATGTTTTTTATGAGGTTTTCTATTTGTTCGTTAATTTGGACATCGTCCAGGGGGCATTCTTCCTCATCCGAGGCGTCTTCTCTTTGGTGTGCGCCCTCTACGGCATTGTCGTCGTTACCGCCCATTGCACCATCCTCCGCACCGTTCACGATACCGTCCATTGCACCATCCTCCGCCTCGTCCACCGCGTCATCTCTCTTGTGCTCCTCCTCCTCGTCGTAGTCGATGGCGTCCTCCTGACCGCCGAAGTTCTTCTCCCTTTCCTTCCCTTTCGAGCCGATATTTTTAAACCACATTATGCCTCTGCGGGGTTTCCATTTAGGGGGCAACGGGCTGGTAGCGGTGAAGCCTCCTGAGCGATTGTTTGTGCACGGGGGGGGTGTTCTCCCTTCACGCAGCGTTGTTCCCGTGTTGCCACGAGGCTGAAACTGCGGCTGAGACTGACGCTTCGCCTGCGGCTTCCACTCTGTGTGTGGGCTCTTCCCAGGCTAATCAGCCCCTCGCAATGTGTAATTGCTACGCAGCTGGTGCGTCTACTTCGCAGGAGGGAAAGCTATCCAATGCAATGGAATTGGCAGCAGCGGTCCCTTTTATCAGAATTGTCTTCTCGTCTTTACAATGGTGTTTTGCTTCTTTGTCATTCACGCCTCATCACAAGGGGGTAGAATACTCATCCGTTAGGTGGACCTGTAGGGGGAAGATGATATTCTCTGTGGGAGTCGCAAAATGGGGGGGTGGCTACATTCTCGGAGCATACTCGACGGGGTGGGAAGCTCTCACGTGGCGAGCTGCTAAGGAAGTTGCTTTACGCACAGGCAGTGGAACTCTACACTGGCGGGATGAGCATACCTGAACCAGCTCATGAACGTTACGCTGTATGGGCAGGCGAACGGCAGGGGAAATGAAAAAGGGCGACGTACAATGAAGGGATGGAGCAATTAGCTGTGGGCGCTAAGCGTGAGAATAACTACCATGCAACAAGTTGCAGATAAAAAATTTGAGCAGCCCCTTTACGCTACGCTTGTAAAGCGAAATGGGGAGCAGCGTGTGGCAGGAGAGTGAAGGCAATATGTTCGCCTGACCGGTGGGGGAAAAAAAAAGAAAAAAAAAGGGGAAACACAAAATAGGATATGCAGGAAGGGGAAGCACAAAATAGGCTATATAGAAAGGGAGGCACAAAATAGGATACACAGAAGGGGAAGCAAAGAATAGGATACACAGAAGGGGAAACACAAAATCGGTAACACAAGAAGGAAGAACAAAGTGAGAAAGCAAAAGAGTAGGAAGAACGGCTAAGCTTGTACATAAATAAAAGTGGCGTATTCAGAGAAAATGTGCCAAAAAATAAAATGCGTTTTTATCTGTACACTTGCATCCGCATATGCCTTTTAGGGGAAAAAAAAAAAGAAAGAAACGATTTCTTTGAAATTCCCCTGTAAAGAGAAATACAAAATGATGTAACAGTTGGTTTTTTTTTCTGCTTTTTTTTTGCCAGGTACTCCGAAGTTTTTTTACATTTCTGTATTTATCTTGTGGTACCTTTTTTTTTCTCTCCTTCCCGCTTGCCACATTTTTTTTTTACGTTAGCTGGCCAACAGGGACACCAAGTGAGGGAAGGGACAATCAGAAAAAGAAAAGGAGAAAAGGAGCTCCCTCCAAATTACGAAGGTGCTGTTATACACGTGGCTAACAATAGGCCACGGCCAAACCGCGGGTGTATGCGCAGTGAGGACAAGTACAGCAGTCCACGCAGCGGTGGCCACAGGAGAGAAACAAAAGAAAAAAAAAAAGGCGCAGTCGGTTACGCACGTGATAGGGTAAAATACAAGCACTATATGCCCGTTTGGCGTTACCGCTTGGGTCGTTGCTGTGTGCTTGCCTCTAACCGCCTGACCCCTTGAGCGGCCTTTTTCTTGTGTGCCCCTTTCAGCGGCGTCACTACCCCGTCCCCAACTTTGTAACCAGTCCCAAGGCAGAAAAGAAAAAAATTGAAAAAAAAAAATGAACAAATTGTAGAGAGCAAATGTGATGGCGTGGGGGGTTCTCCTTTTTTCTGGTTGGATCTTTTTTTTTTTCCCATATTTTTGCAGAAGGAGAAAATAATTTAAGGGGGAAATAGGACAAGCGAAGGTGCATTGGGGAAGGGGGACTTTCTTTTTTTCTTTTTCTTTTTTACCAAAGGGGAATGCCCATCCAGGGTCGGTAACAGGGGAACACACGAAGGGGAGGGTAACTCGAGGGCATTAATGGGAGGGGTGGCCTTTATCGTCGGTTGTCCCTGTACTGTTCCTATACTACCACTGTGCTGTCCCGATACTATCCCCCTGTGTTCACTTTTTCTCTTTTCCTTAGCTGCGGAAGCCGATTTCCCTCGTTGCCCTCCCCTCGTCGGTGTGCATCAATCCGCAGATGCCCCTTCACCTGGGGGAGGCTGCACAGGGAGGCTGCACGCGGAGCATTCACACGTGAGTCTCACTCTGCAGCATCGAAGGGAGATTCTACACAACATTGGAAGAGAGAAAGGACCAACGGACAGCTCCGTCACCCCTACTTCGTCAGTTCGATTGTCTGGGAGAAGTGCCCCCAAGAGAGCAATTGGTAATGTGAAAAAGGGGGGGAACATCTCATTCGGGTAAAACTTTCACCAAATTTTTAGGAGCCAAGAAGAAGGAGGGGTGGCGGAGTGTCCCATCGTCATCCTTCGACCACGGCCACGACCACTGTCATCGGCAGCATCACCACAACCACCGTCACAGCGCAATGTTCCACCAGCGTTGCAAGTCGTCTGAATTCCTACTCGGGATTCAAAGCTACTCCCTTGATGAGGGGAAAAGGAAAAGAATAAAAAAAAATGACAAGGCTAAATCAAAGGGAAGAGGAGAAGTACCATCTGAGAGGACAGAAAAAGGGGACCATCAAAATAAGTACAGCTCAATTGCTAGTAAGTTCGAAAAAGTAAAAACCTTGAGCCACCCCAATGTGTGCAGTTATTTCAGTTTATGTCGAAGGGAAGATGATTTTGTATTATCCTCTGAGTATTACTCTCTGTCCCTGTACGATCTGCTACGCGAGGAGGAAATGGACTCCGTCGATTTGAAGTGCGTCCGAAGGGCACTAAAGGGGGGAGGCGGCCGAGGAGTGATAAGAAGCGAAGTAGTCGGAGGAGAAGTAGCAGTAAGAGGTAAGCATTGCTCGAGTCTTCCCTACGAGGGGAACACCCCCAGGAGGAAGCTCATCGATGCTCAGACTACAAAACAAATAGTTCAGCAAATCCTTTCTGCAGTTCACTATCTTCACTCCAAAGAGATAAAGCTTCTAAACTTGACGCTGAAAGATGTACTCGTAACCCCCAAGGGAGAAATAAAAATCCACAATTACTGCTTGTCCTATCTGTTTGGTAACTACTTCTGTCGTCCCCCTGATCGGTGTGACAATTTTGTTAGGAGCCTATTGAGGTTGCCCCTGCCCCAGACGGATACTATGACCAATGTGAAGGGGGAAGAAGAGGAAGGAGAAGGGAAAGGCGGCGAAAAAAGGAGACCCACACGAATGAATATCCCCCGTGCAGACAACCCCTTTGTTAGTAACGCTCTGTATTTCCCCCCTTTTTTCCTGCTCAACGATTTAGCGAATGGTAAAAAGAGGGCGCCGCCTAACTATGACGTGCTCAAACATGTGGATGTCTTCACCGTGGGCATTATAATCCTACAGCTGGTGAACGGCATATTCCACTTTGACTTCCTCGTGACGAATTGTCAACCCGTCTGTGACGAGTCCACCTCGGAGAAGAACCCTCTCTTGAATGAATTTCACGAAATTGTAGGGACCCTCCAGGGGATGCGGCAACAGAGCGAAGAAGCGTCGCTGCCAAGTGGCAGACGCACCGATGGTGATGAGACTTCCCTTTACATTGACAAACCAGCGGAAGGGGAAGGCATGTTGGAAAAAGTGAAGACCATCTTTGTCTTCCTTCTCTACACGAAGGTTTATCAGCTTCTTTCAGATGTGAGCGCTGCGCAGGAGATCAGTCTCCTGGGCATGAATGTGTACGTCCTCTTTCGCGCATTTGGGAAGGAGCACCATCAGGGCAGCGGGAAGAGAAGCGCCAAGAGAAGCCCAAAGAACAACGCGAAGAAGTCCGCCCATGTCAACCTTCTGACCTACCGGGTTGTGAAGATCCTCATTGAACTTCTGCTCAACGTCAAGGTAACTATCCGATTTGTCAAATGGGTGGAGAAGATCCTATCTGAGTTTTTCACCCTACATGTTTTGAAGCAAAACGTGGAGAAAATAATGTACCAGGGTGATACAGAGAATGAGAAGATTTTCTTTTTTAACCTTCTCCACAAGTGTCTGTCTTTACGAGGTAGTGAGAAGAATAGTTCCTCTTCTCTCCTTTCTCATCCGTACTTCTATCCCCGGGGGAGTGTACCCACATGGCCTGGAAGCACAAGCGTTGTTATGAAGCAGTGGGGAAGGGAACAACAACAAGGGAGGACTCCCGAACAGGGGAAGACAGCATCAAATTTTTTACCCCATTCGAAGGAAGAAAAAAAATTCGAAGCGACCCATTACGACCATTACAAGCATTACAACCCTTACGTAGTAGAATACGTCCGAAGTAATCTCAGGGAAGACCAGCTAAAGAGCAGACATTTTATCGTGACAAAGGACATACATCTCTGGTTTGATATGCTGTATAAAATGGACTACTTCAACGAGCTCCTCTACCTAAATGGGGTTAACAACGCATGTAGCATTTTGAGATTGCCTTACATAGTTTATACAAAGAAGAAGCATTTTTACGAGTTATTTTTTTTCCGCTTTTATAAGCTCCTTCTGTTGGGGAGATACCAGGGGGTGCTTAATGTGTACTCGCATTTGGTCAGAGGGAATTCCAATGTAAGGTGTTCAGGACGAACTGGGAGCTTCGGCTGTACCGACAGAAAGGTGAAGTGCCGTGCGGAATTGTTCACCGGAGGTACATGCACAAATGGATATACCTTCTGTGTGAAGGGGAGAAGATTCCTCATGGGTGGGAAGAACAAACTTGGTAGCATCACTCAAGCGGGTGTCCCTTTTATGAGAGATAAAACTTCAGAGAATAATCGGCTACAAACAAATGTGTACCCTTTCGATGGGGTGGCCGTCGCCAAAGAGGAGCAGCGTTATAGAGATGTTACACCAAACCACTTGGGTGAAGTAGCAACGCACGAGGAGGGAACTTCCCATTCATTCTTTTTCAACATTCCCACGGAAGCGAAATATACGTCCCTGCCGCTGCGCGATTCCGGCGCGAAGAGAGTGCTGGGGGTGAGGCTAGTTGAATTTTACGACGCGTTGGAGGATGCATATAGGTTAGTCCATTCGAAGGTGGAAAGTGGTGGATGCGACCCAGTGAATAACGTGACATGCGTGTACGAGAAGGATCACTCCTTCCTGCACCAGTATAGCCTCCACATAAAACTACAGAAATTGCTAACATTGGACCCGCTCAACAGCGACGAATTAGAGAAAGAGGTGAGGAGAGGATTTCCAGCTCACATGCGGGGGATAGCCTACCTGACGCTACTTGGGTATAAGTACTACTTGTTGGTGAGGCAGGCACCGGGGAAGAAAAATAAAATTAGACGATTAATTTGTGAGGCTCGTTTGAAGGAGGAGGGAGCAGAACTGTCAGTTAAGCAGTTAGGAGAAAGCCCACTGGTGGGGGGCTTGACCAGGGAGACGCAGCAAGGAAACTCGTCAGAAAATTCGGGATCGAAACGGAGGATTTACCACTCGAGTGGAAACATAGATCGAAGCAATGATAGAGATGGCGGGGTGGGAGATGCAAAAGAGGGGACCATCCATAACCACCCCTTCGCTAGAGACAAATCGTCGCTTCAGTACTTTCTTCAAAAACGCAGGAAATACAACGACCTGGTGGGAAGCCCCCAAATTGGGAAGAGAATGCTGACGGTAGAACTACTACTTAAGATAAAATTGGGGGTAAGAAATAAACACCTGAGGAGTTTACTCCTTCCATTATGTCTGCTCTACTATGATAGTACTTACTTATGCTACAAGTGCAGCAAACGGGTGGTGCAGAATTATCTGCTGGATCTATACTCAAGTGGGAAGAAATGGAGGGAATTCGCGTACACCTTTAATTGTCTGCTAAGTTATTACGCCCCCGAATTGACTTTATTTTTTTTTAAAAACGACATCAACGTGGAGAGGGTGGTTTATAGTTGGGTGTGCTCCCTATTTTCTAACTTCTTCGATGCGCAAAAGTTTTTTTGGTTACTTGATAGGATTCTTACTCAACCAAGATGTTACCTTTTCTTTGTCTGCGTGAGTATTTTGATTTACCTAAAAAGGCACATTGTTATGAACATGTCCAGGGATAATTTTTACAAGAATATATTTTTGCTATCTCGTTTGGTGAACCTAAATTTCGTTTTGAAGACCTCCATGGATATGTTTACCAGCTCGCCGATGACGCAGGTGCAGTTTCCTCAAGTAGACAGCAGCCTTGGGGAAGAAAGGAACACCCAGGAGGGAGCGAAGAATCCCACCAATCCTGCCGCGGACCGGCTTGAAAATCAACGAGCCCATATTAACTACCTGCCCTATCTCCTCGGGGACGCCAACTGGGTGCGCTATTACGTGCATAAGGACACGTTTACGGTGTACTGGAAGAAAGGCGGTAGTATCTCCCCAGGTAGGGTCAACGGCAACGGTGCGAGAGGGGGACAGGCTCCCTCAAAAGGGATGACAATTTTAACGAAAAAAAACGGCTTGGTCGGTAGGACAAATATTAAGTCGTTAAGGGGAAGAGCAAGTGAAGCGGAAAAATTAACGCTTCAAAAGTTAAAGCTTGCAAAATTGAAACTGAAAAAAATAAAAAGTAAAAAATTAAACGGTGACAACTGGGGGGAAAGTGGCGACTCTGCCAGCTTGCTCTCACCAGCAGTCGCACAGGGAGATCAAAGAGAAGACACACAAAGGGGAAAGACAAAAACGCGAAGCGTCGCGCATCACTGCGAATTATTCTTACGAAATTACAAGATAAACAAAAAAATAAAAGACTTAAGTGAGTTCTCTCACTATGGAACGGATGTCTTGACAAATTATAAATGTGAAGATAAAAAGATGGGAAAAAAAAAAAAAATAAAAAATAAAAGCAGCGAAAGCAAGTGTGTGTACTACAAGTTAACAAAGAAAAACGTTAAAAAGAGATTCAAAAGGGAAGATCTTGTTAGGCTGTGTAACTTTCCCATGTTTCCATTTGTATACGTCACAAACTTAGCGAAGGAATTATCCCTTGATAATTACCTAATTGTTGATATGAGGTCCCCAGAGGAGTTTAAAAAAAAAAGACTCAAACATTCTGTGCACGTTAACACGTTTTTAATCAATTTTAAAAAAGGAGTTTATATCAACTACACAGATGGTAGTGACGAGGTGGACACCCACTTGAAGACGATTATCCTCGCGTTTAGCAGATCCATTTTTGACTTTGATGCCATTTACAATTTTTTGAACTTAAAAATTAAGCGTCTCACCATTCTGTGGGGAGGTTTGGACTGCGCCTTCAGTGGCTTGCCGGCGAGTTGCTTCACGTAGGGGCAGCGCAGGGCATAGCGTTAGTGCTCGGCGACTTGGGATCGGCCCCCTGCGCCCTGCAGCTAACGTGGCGCGTCTAATTGCCTTTGTGGAAATTTCTTCCTGACTCAGCCAGTTTTTTAAGCGGCGTATTTTCATATATATATATTTTTTTCCTGTTCTTTTTGCTCTTGTGGGGAAGTCTTTACCTGACCCAGCTAGCTTTTTTTAAGCGGCGTATTTGCATATATATATTTTTTTTTCCTGTCCTTTTTGCTCTTGTGGGGAAGTCTTTACCTGACCCAGCTAGCTTCTTTCACCACAAATGGTTCCTTAATTCGCTTTTTATTCGCCTTTATTCGCTGTTTTTTTTTTTTTTTTGTTTACACCAAACTGCGTGCTTACATACTGTCAAGCAAAGTTAACCCACGTGAAGCGGCCTCCTCTTCTTCGCTAATGCAACGAAATTGTATGGGGGAAAGAAGGGGTGGCATACACCATAGAAACCCCACAGGGTTGGCCTTGGATAGGTGTCTACCATGGACGTTAATACGAGGAAGGATCTGTGCGCTTACGAGTGCGGCCATTTGGCTTAACGTTGTCACAGTTTGTCATTATTTGCTATGTTTAGCGGGATCACCTTCCGGATCACCTTCTTGGTTCCCTTTCGTCCGTTTGTCGATTTTTCTCCCCCTTCGCTTGAATTACCCATTGAGCGCAGAAAAGTGAACCCCGTGCTCGTGATGGGGGAAAATAAATGCGTTTCCCCCTGTTCGCCAAAGGGGAGGGGCGATTCGACTGGTTAATCCTCTTGGCCAGGCGTCCAGAATGTGCAACTTTCAATTCCCTCGTTCCGCTCGTCCGCTTCGTACCGCTTCGTACAGCTTCGTACAGCTTCACTCTTTCCCTTTTGTGTGTATTTCTAATTCTTCCCACTTATAAGTAGCGAACAACCATTCCGTCCGCTCAGCTGCATCACTTGGTCAGACGCGCCAGAGTGTTGTGAAAGAGAAAAGAAACTACGATTACGCTATGGCCATGTGTACAAATGCATACAATTTTTTGCGTTTTATTTTTTATGCTCTTTTGTACATATGGAAGAAATTTTCATTACAAAGGAAAAGAGTGAGATAAAAGAAAAGAAAAAAAAAAGGCGAAATTACGATTTCTTTATTTCAACAAAATGGCTCTACAAAACAACTGGGCGAATTCGAACTTCCCATTGAGGCGTTTAAAATTATGTACCAATCCGTGGAGTGAGGGAAACACATCGGATGGGAAAATAAAATGAGGAGGAAACATAAAAAAGAATGAAGAGGAAAACAAATCAGAAGATAATATGCTCCATAAAAATGATAACCCTCTGTTGGTAAGCCTTTCGTCAAGCAAATCGTCTGTCGCGTTCTCGATATATGTCATTTCGGGAACCCTTTCGCCAAGCCTGTTGGGCTCGATAGAATTAACAAACTGGGGTGTGTACTGTGGGGTGCACGGGGAAATGTCTTTGAAAAAGTTGTAATCTTCTCTACAGAGGGGCCCAATAACCGCTTGACAAAGTTTGTCTACCTAATTGGCAGCGCGTGTCTTGGCCTATCATCACCATCCTCCCCCCCTGTATCTCTTTCCTTTTTTCATTCACCCCACGTCATGCACGTAGAACAAGAAAAAAAGGTCTCACTTGTTCATATTTTTCCTAATGAGCTTTTCCTTCAGTTTGGACATTTTCTTCTCCCAGTTTTCTCTATCGTTCGTTTTATTTTTCTGAACAGAATACTTCCTCGAGGGCGTGTCGGCTGAGTTGTACACGTAACGCTCTCTCTCCGTGTGCATATGCTGGTCACTTTGGTCATGAATTTTCTTCGGCACGTGGTTGGCATTGCCTTCGTTTTCGTTTGAGAAGGGCCTCTTCCTGCTTACGTTTGGGTGTACTCCATTAAGTTTTTTTTCTAAAATGACGTGTGAAGCGTCGTTACGCTTGGGCATTCTCGTCATCTTCTTTCCGTTTTCAAAATGATTGTCTCTGTTCCAGCCTCGCTCAGATTCTCTGTTCCAGTCTCGGTCGGCTTGTCTATTCCAGTCTCGATCAGATTCTCTTTCCCTGTCTCGCTCTGCCTCCCAACTTCGATCTCTTTTCCTTTCCCCCTCTTCCCCCCGATGTCGACCTGTTTGCTTTTCTGGCTCTCCCCCCCAATTTCGATCTCTTTCTCTTTCCCTCTCTGCCTCCCAATTTCGATCTCTTTCCCTTTCTCGCTCCCTGTCCCGTTCCCTTAAATTTTGTCGATCCCTTCCAGCTTCTCTTGAACGATCCCTTCCCGCTTCTCTTGGACGATTCCACTCCGCCTCCCTCGATCGATTCCTTTCCGCTTCTCTTGAACGATCCCTTTCCGCTTCTCTTGAACGATCCCTTTCCGCTTCCCTCGGACGAACCCACTCTGCTTCCCTTGGACGATCCCACTCTGCTTCCCTTGGACGATCCCACTCTTCTTCCCTCGGACGATTCCACTCTGCTTCCCTTGGACGACCTCTATTTCTGTCCCTTCTCCTGTTCCTCCTCCTTCCCCTTTCACTGTTGCCTTCCCCTTCTGATTCTCCTTGTCTGTCTCTCCTGTTGAGTTTCTCCCCTTCCTCCTTGTTATTACTATCCCTTTCTCTATCGGGATGCATCGTTTCTCCATTTTGGATGCTTCCCTTTCCACTGGGGTGAGAATTGTCTTTTTTTTTTTTTTCCTCACCATTTTTCGCCGATCGCTGATTAGTAGTAACATCCTTCTGTATCTGTGCGGGAGGTTGCTCCTTCTTGCGTGAACTTGATCTGTCTGCTTCTTTCGCTTGTCCTTCTCGACTTGGGCTCATGGATTTCTTGGATTTGTTGGACTCTTTTCCCTTCGCATTTCTTTTTTGATGACTATCTGAGCCATTTTTGTCGGGGTTTCCTTTGCTCAGATTTTCCCATTCATTCGGATGGTTTTTTTTCTTCCCTCTATCAGCTCTAGGTCTGTGTGGATTCTCCTTTCTCTGGATCTGCTGCTTCTCTTCTGTCTTCCTCGGCGAGCGTTCCTCCTTGATGTCACCTTCGTGGGTAGGGGCACCTTGGGGGCAAAATTATGAAGATGAAATTGAAAAATAGTGCAAACGTGGGAGGTTCTTGTCATGCAGGTAGGAACCATGTACACACGTAAAAATGTGTCTCGGTTTCAATGAACCCTTCGAAGGTGTGCATTCACATCGCACGTTTGTGTCTCTCGCGTTTTGTTTCTTTGACCTTATTACCTTCTTCGCGATTTTGCTTTGTCTGTTCCTTGGGTTGTCTTTCCCTTTTCGACTCCGGCCCTTCCCGCGAGTCGTTTTCTTTAGGGGGTTCTTCCCTTGCGGATGTGGGTGTCGATTCGCTTTGGGGCTCTTTTGGGCATTTCTCATCCTTCTCACGCTTCTCCTCTTTTTCATCTTTTTTATTACCTTCTTCTTCCTGCTTTTTCTGCTGCTTTTCCTTTCCAGTTGCTCCTTTCTTTACAGGGGCTGGCGCATCTCTCTCCTGCACCGGGTTTTTATCCTCCACGATGATTTGCTTGTTAGCCTCCTCCGCGCTAACTCCGTTCTTTCTCTTAAGCGACCGTTCGCCGTTAACGGCTTCCCCCTTTATATTTCTACGCGGGGTGAGGTGTTCACCTCGGCGGTCATTCTCGGGTATGTCATCCTCATTGGGAGCGCTACCCTCCTTAGAGGAAATATTCACATTATCTGCATTGACCATTTTGTCGTTGCTTTTACGATTTTTTTTGCACTCCTCTGTATGTTCCTTTTTCTTCTCCATCGTGTTGCTACTCACTTGTTTGTCGTTGGTCTGGATAGGCCTCTCCTGTCCTGCCTGCGCATCTTCTGACTCTCGTTTTTCCTTCTGTGTGTCTTTATTGACGGGGTTCATAGAATGGTCGTCACCGAGCATGGTGTCTCCCAGATCTGTCGCTCCCCCTATCGTGTTAATCGTCGCGTCGTTCATCGCTCGGGAGTTTACTCCCACATCGGAAGGCGAATTGGCAGTCACATTGGCAGCCACATCGCCAATCACATTGGGAGTTACATCGGCAGTTACATCAGGATGCTCACCTAGGGAAACATCCACGCCCACACCTCCATCCGCAACTCCATCGACAACTTCCCCCTCAGTGGCATTCTCCTTTCTCTTCTTTTTTTTCTTCCTTACTGTTTCGCTATTCTCCAATTTCAAAAATCGGCAGATGCGCTGCTCAATATCCGAATCGTAATTGGATTCATCGGAGGAGAAGTTAATATTGTTACCCAAGCTGGATCTTGACTTGAAGGAGGAGGAGTAGGAAGAGGAAGGGTAGTTGCACTCAGGTTTGCCATTGGGCAAACTAATCTTCCTTCCTAGATTCATTCCCTGTTCCGATGTTTTTAGCTTTTGCTCATACCTCTTTTGCACTTTGCTTGTCCAGTCTCGTAAATTAACAAATCTGGAGTTGCTCACTTTTTTCTTCCTCTTTCGGTTATGCTTTTTTTTATGGGCATCACAACTGGGGTTGTGTTCTCTGGTAGGAGAGCCCAGCTCCACCGATTGGAAGTTCACCTCTTCCGCTTCCATGATGGCTATACAGGTGGTCGTCATTTAGTTCGACTACTGCGATGAGGGAAGCAGATAGGTGTGGGTGGGGGGGAAAAAAGATAACACAGCTGCGGGAGCGCAGGTGTGGAGGGGAAACCCTATGGAGAAATGCCTTCCGCACGAACAAGTCGCGAGGGTAGAGGCTGCATCCCCAGTGTAAGAAGCTGCTTCGGAAGAGGGCCAGCCCCTTATCGCTTCATCGGGATCGCCTTTTTTCCTTTCCTGCAGTTGTCCCGCTTGCCTAGTGCAGCTGTAGACGCGTGGGGGAAATACTTTCCCTTTAAGTGATCCCCCCAAAAAAAAGAGAAAATAAAGAAAAAAAAACACCGTTGATGAAGAGAATTTGCAAAACGGGCGGCTGCGCGTGTGTGAAGCCACCCAGATGTGCAGTCACGACCTCGGTCACGCCCAAAGGTGAACCCGCTCGGGCGTCAAAACGGGGTTTACAAAATTGATGAGGAGTGCTAAAAAGGAGAAAAAAAGGAAAAAAAAAAGAAAAAAAGAACAAATTCTTTACACTGCTCAGGCGAAGCACATTTGTTGGCTTCATCTCACGAGTCAGACGTTACCACCATTGGACTATCTTGCGAGGAAGGGACTGTTGTTATCCCCTTCTACTTATCACTTTCCCGTATAATAAAAAGTGCTCGCTTTGTGCGAGGGGGCATGCATGTAGGTGGACGAACGAGACGGCGAAAAGGAGTGATTGTAGTGGAGTGACGGGCATAATGAAGAATGAAACCCTACGGCGTTGTGGTACATTGGTACAGTGACACAGGGGCCATAACAAGCTTCACGAATCAAAACACTCTGCAGCATTTTTGCGTGCTCCCTTTTCGTGAAGGGATGTCTCCATTCATACATATAATTTACAGAAGAGTTCTACTTAATTGTCCGTTTGGTGATTCCATTCGTTAGTCTAAGTTTGGGTGTACAACCATTCGGCGTCCTCTTCAACGCGATGGGAGGGAAGATTTAATTAAAATGGGGAAGGGGGCACAGACA